TACCACACAATGTCCAAGTGTTAACACTACAACCTGAACAGTTCAACTCAATCCGATGGTGCAGTCACACAAGTACCTGACACCCTAGTGGACTAGTGTATATAAAAATATTGAAAAAAAACGACTTCCTTCTTTGATGATTTTCCTAGATGATATCGATACATTAGAAAAACCATCTTCGCATTGAAAATATCACTTTAGACCATTGACATAACTATCACTGCTGGTTACATTAATATGCCTTTTTAAGTAGTATACACCTTGTATAATGTGTACATTTACTGGCTTGAACACAAGAACACTCCATACCATTATTTTGTTCAGAAACAGAAAAATGATAACATACTAGAATCATTAATATTTATTGATGTATTATCCTTAAGATAGCAAGTTTTTCACCGATTTCGACAAAGTCCATTATCAATCTTTTCATAATAATTGTATACATAAATTGTGACTTATTGAAAGTGAAGAAAAATTGACTTTGTCAAACTATTGGTAACTCATAATTTGTTTTCCTTCATCTAAAAAATGGGACATTCAATTTTCACGGTGTTTCAAATGAAGTTAACCTAATGAACATTGATAATCTGGTCTCAACTGTATAATGTACTCAATAATTCCAACTTTAAAATGATACATACATTTAATATTTTGTTATTTTCGTCAAGATCAAGTTAATACCCTTTTGGATTTTTCATGTTAATCAAAAAGGCAAGTGAATGAGCAGTAAACTCTAGATAGTTCAAATTTTCTCAACTTTATCTTAATTTTGAAAACGTGTCATCATAAGTTTTTTTCGTGAGTATCGTCAAGTACTGTTAAAAAAGGAGATTTCGTCAGTGACAGACTATCATTAAGAAATCAGTCTTATTTCTTGTTAACTTAACAGATGTATACAGTGAAGATGGGAAATAGGTATAGTAACTTAAGCATTAAATAGTGCATGTTGTATTTGGAAACGTCATATCTCATTTATGTTTACATTATATAGCTATTATTAGCGTTCTGTAAAAATTTAGCAAACAATCTACATTAAAACCTTGATTAGATCTACATCTTTCAGCTCAACTAGTTGGAAAGGTCAACTAATTTAAATAAGATCACTGATGGAATTTGTATGATAACTCTCAAATTTTCTCATACTCAAAACTATCTCATGTATATCTTAAATGTACTTATCCTCGTTTTCATTCATTGTAAGTAAGTAATTAAGTAAGCAAGTAAGTAAATAAGTAAGATCGACCTTATTCAATTCATTTGCTGAAGGTATGTGTATACATTATCATGTCATTTTAGGTTTTCTTGTACTTACTTACTTACTTACTTTCGCCTGTTACCCCAAATGGAGCATAGGCCGCCCACCAGTTTTCTCCAACCAACTCTGTCCTGGGCTTCCCTCTCCAGTTCTGTCCAATGTTTGTTCATTCCTCTCATATCTTTCTCTATTTCTCGGCGTTTTCTTGTACTAACCTTATTTATTTGAATTAAATACTGGAACGTATCAGGACAACTCTTGACCACTTCATAAATAACTTTCTGATAAAGTTAATGAACTATGTTCCTAAAAATAAATAACTAATTCGTTGAAAATCAAGCGAACTGCTCAGAATGAGTTCAAAAACTTTATGCAACTTAAAAGTAAATAATTCATTTATCATAGAATGATGACGTTTCTGAATATCTTATTCTAGCTAAACTTCACAAGAAAAATTTACAGTATCCATTTAAAAGTGTTTTCATTCGATGTTCAATGTTGTTACTCGATACAAACAAAAAACAGGAAATCGGTGAATCAAAAAAGGAACCTATTCAAGCGTTTGAAAAAATGCAACTGTTTTGATTCAATGTTCAATCCAAAAACACTGTTTCATAAAATTCACTGATCATTTTAAAATAAATCAAAGAATCACGCTTAAATTCTTAGATGTGTTGAAATTTATTCATTCAAATAAGTGAGTTTTTTTGAAAATATGGCATTTAAGTGTAACTGAAAATTTCAAACCGATATAATTATTCATTCATGCTTAAATGTTAATTAAATTTATCTAAGAGAGATTAAAATCTAATTTCCTTTAGAAATCAAGTTCTCAGCAATTTTCAATTATTGATTTAATGTTAATTACTTTTTTATTATATACAATAAAATATATAAAAAAAGAATAAATTGTTTTTCCACGATGATAATCTATGAAGAAGTATTCATTGTTGTTCATTTTATGACGTATTTGTATAGATTGCTGATGAGGAGATTCGCATAGAACTCATCACGTATTGAACATCAAATGATATAATAATGATTAGCTGTGTTCGTTCCATAAATCATTCTCAGTGGTACAGCGATGAGTGAATTTAATACACGATGATTACCGCTTTTTAAATTAAACAAATCTGCATAAAATATCTCTTTATAAACACAGTAACAATTGAACGAAACAACCTTAAATTCTAAATTATTCTAATTAATATGGATTTGTTTAAACTGAAGCTAATCAAAGTAAAATCAGATAGTGAGATTATTTTATTTGCACATACAGATATGGCTATTTAACAAACTCTGAGGAAATACATTTTAATAGAAATTTAAAAATTCATAATCTTTATTCTAGGCTGTCTTGAACATGAATTCATTCATTTTTGCCTTTAATCCATACTCATAACTGTAGAACAAGATGCGAATTCGCTAAAAAGGGTATTGGATATTCATGTTTTGCTCATTCCAACATGTTAGATAATTAGCGATAGTCAGTGAAATAAAAACAACTATCTGTTCAACCACATTGGGAATTATTGCAAAACTGTAATATTTATACGCCCAGTTTATTGACTCCTCTAATTATACAAAAGTAGTTCAGTTAGCCTAGTCAGTTCAATTGCATCATTCATAGGACTTTCGTTTTAATTATTCGATAATTGTATCGACCATAATGTTGTACTTGTAATCATTCGATTACAGTATCGATTATTATAAATTTGGTTGTGTTTTTGGATGCTTTATTGCTTATTACATGTCTAGCCTATTATTGCATGTCTATAAATACTTAGTCGCTCTTCAGCTCATGGAGAGTTGGCTCACTTGCCTTCTCCAAAACGCTTCGTTTTCCTTGTACTTTTTCTTTTTCATGTTTGCCTGCATAAATGAATGCATGAAATAAATTCATCCACAATACTGTATTTGGCTTCTTACTATTGCCGTTGCACAAACGGGGTTAGCCCAAGTATAATATACGGAATTGGATAGGAAGTTTTAATTAATTGCACACTCGATCATTCGTCCACATTGAAGTCCAGTAGCCAGCCGCTAAATGTTCTCTTGAAGCAACGTACAAAGACCGTGTTCGATGTCAGCACTTTTTTTTGTTTTTTAGTTCTGTCGCTATTAACTTGATTATAAAAAGTTACTAGTTACATGTTCATAAATATTAATCACTTCAATATGTTTAGCATGATTAGAATATTGTTACAACATACCGTAAAGAATCTATCAATTATTACGGTCTATAGAAAATATAAAAAATCTTTAAGAACTTATATGTAGTATTTTTTTTTGTGTTTTATTCCACTTCATTTGATTCTTCATATTATGTAACAATTTTACAAATTTAATTATTGTCAATTCATTTGATTGCTGAAAACATTTGTTTCTGAGTATAAAATGAATACAACTTGATAACAATTTCATTATTGTGAGTAAATGAAAAAAGCCTAATGTTTTTTTTTGCATCAAACTGTCACATAATTTATCATGAAATATGTGTTATTTTGTAAAATTAATTTATTTACTGTCTATGTTTTTCATCAAAATGATGTAAACTTTTAAGTTTAAAAATATTAATTACTAAACGGTCATTGCTTTAAAATTTATGGGATTAGAATGAATCAACCAGATTATGACGAAATTCTGAACATCAGTACAAGTTTGTGGAGATTGTTGAATTTCATTGAAATCAATACTTCAGTCATTATCATGGATTATTTGAAGTATTGACTTCATAGAAACTCAACAATCTCCACAACCGCATATTGTCAATTATCAATAATGCCTATCTTGATGAGGAAATTCTCGGTGTTCTAGAGAGAAGCCAATGGACTGATGGAGTTCAACAGTATTGGGTGTGAGGCTGATACCTACCGAAGACAATCTGTAATAGTCACATAATATCGTAGATTCATTAAAGTTATAAATTAACACTGTCGGATGCTGGCCCAGTGGTCTAGAGGTTAAACATTCACACGCGAGACCGAAAGTCTAAGCTGTGATCCACGCTTGCAAAATCATGGATACGCCTTCCAGTGTTTGCAGGTTTCCAGCGGTGGATTAATATTGATCGATTAATGACTTCAATGAAAATTTACATCTCTTGTACAAATTAAACCATTTGAAATGGTTACATAACCATGCAGTACAACGAATGTAGAATCACACATTCTAGCAGATAAACCTAAGTAAAATAAATCACCATTCATTTTTTCAACTGTTATTACAAACTTTATTACTATAAAATTTAAGAATGTTATCTTTGCGTATTTTCTGCTTAGAATTTCGCCACCAAGATTGAATTTTACAACTATGTTTTATATACAATATTAATCATATACTTTCTAATTAATAATAGATTATTTGAACAGTATTTCATAAAGTAAATCATAAATAGATTTTGTTTCGTTTTTAACTTTTAAACTAACATCAGTTTAGAGGGTTGTGAATCTAATTACTTCTCTAATGAAATACTAATACCACTCATCATATCGTATCAGTGTTTCTTCCATTTAATAAAATAACTCACTGAGGAAAACTTTGTCATTGTTTCATCAGTGAAGTAAATATGAATTTTAAAAAGAAAAATAAACTAAGGTTCTACATCAAAATGTTAAGTTGGACATAGTGTCATATTATGTTAAAAGTCACTTTTATGAGAAGCAATAAAGTACAACACATCAATGTTATTACTTATATACAGTGTCTCTCAATTGTACAATTCTTTATTCCTTACCAATAGATATGCAATCGCGAAATTCCTCTGCCCTATCAATTACAACATTGTTAGGAGTACAAGACACAACTGCATTATCAGCATCATCATCAGCCTCATCATCATCAACGTCAAGTGGACCAAGCAAATTTAGAAAACGTTTATTTCTTCGTGGACAAACAGTTAGTGCTATCAATTCTCAAACTATAAATGAACAATCACCACCATCACGACCACCACCACAACAACAACAGAAATCGGAAACATCGTCAATCGATCAAAAACATAGTAAATTATTACATTTAACAAAAAGACAAGTAACTGAAGAAAATCTATGTTCAGCTTCAAAAGATGAACTGTTGGATGTTCAACCATATGATAATAAACAATATTTTGTGGAACAAAGTAAGTGAATTGAGAAATTTATTTTTTCATAGTTTTCATTATGAACTGATTTTAGTTAGACAGTCATTCAAAAACACCAGGTACTTGGAAGCTGTTTTGTTCCAACATCCTCATATCTGTGATTCAACTGAGGGATCAAACCTAGGACTTTCAGGTCTTGAGAACTTTCAACATTTAGACCAGTGAGCTGGCATAAAAGGATTTATATGACTGACTTTAATTCACAGAATCATTCAATAATCTTTGGTTTGATAGTAGTAAATAACTGCCTCACAGTGATAAGGTTGAATTTCACTGTTTAAAACACCTCACTCAAATTTCCGGAGTTACCTTTTAAAATTAGTCACCAGTGAGTACACAATCACTGTTATAACAGGAGTTTGTGAAAGTTATTGAATTTATTGAGTGACATTACGGATCGATTTATAAACCATTGTATGCTTAAAAATAGTGAATAGGTTAAGAGCTCATGGGGATACTGAAGGTTTTAGTTAGGCTGTAGATGTGCACTGCTGACAAACCCCATACTAGGACCAAATAGGCGTTCAATTCTTCCTACTATTTAATGATTGTCTGGCTAAGATCAGTATGTGAGCTGAACTAATGAATTCATTTTATTGGATAATTCTTGGAAATATTTAATAAAATGTTTATTGAATAAAATATGTACATATATACATTGACTAATATTAAATGTATTATTTAATATATATATTTTTACTGAAATTCTACTAGATAGAAATAAGCATTAGGATTTATAAATAAAACTTTAATGGGAAAAAAATGGTTACTCATAGAATGAGTATGGAATTCACGATTAAAAACACTGTCAACATTGATAATCAACATTACCAATCTTAGATTAGTCTTATAACTTTTATGTGAAGAATTAGGCTTAATTAACTCCTCATAATGGCTTATGAAAGCATTTGAATGTGTATCACCAAGATAGAAAAAAATCACTAAATGAATATTATTGAATAATGGCATAGTGATCGTCAGTTGATTCAATATTAGTTTCCGGTTGTTTGATATACTTTGAAAACGAAACATGTTAAAACAATAAAATGGCATTTCAATTAAAATGTGTACATTTAAGAGGAACATTCAAGAAGTAAAAGACGATTCCATGAAGGAAATTTTCTTTTCAATCGTACCATTCATTTCATTTGTACAATCGTATTTAAGATGAGTTACTAAGTATGCTCTAGTCTTTCGAAAGCTAGAAACAGATTACATAATGAAGTGATCGGAAATTCCATACATAGATGGTATAGTGAAATCCAGAATCTTTTGATTAGCTAATGTATTTGATTAACTCATTGCAGATATATAGTACATATTTAACAATTGAAATCGTCGAAAGAAAACTTTTTTATCATTGAACCATGTTGAATCGTTTTTCATTTACACGAATCAGTTTAGTTTGTTTGGTTGGTTAATTTATTTGTTAAACTGTGAAATATTCTAGATTGAATAAGGAAAAGAAACAAAAAGTTTAAATGGCAATCTATCAGATGATTAGCATACTTAAACTTGTGCTCTTTGATCAGTCGAGAGATGATTAACTTGTTAACAGAGTGTATAACCATTCGAGTTTAATATCTCTCTTTTTTCAGTATCATACTGTTTACACGTCCCTATCGTTTTTAATTTTTTTGTCAAGTTCATCTCTATTACTCACTGAAATTCCATACAAAATGTATATCGTTTATGAATGAAATAATATTTACGACCTGGATATCGTAAAAGTAAAAAATAAAATTCACCACAATCTGATTTTAAGTTTAATGAAAAATGATTAAAAGGAATATAAACATTTTCTACTTTCATACTGTATTTAAGATAATAATGAATTTAACTCTAGTTTAGAACTTATGAAGGAAACTAAGAGGAAATTTCCATTTATCCTCTATGATACTTTCAGTCTATTTTGTCAGTTGAACTATTTTTTTCAATTGAAATGTGTATTTTAAACTAGTTAAGTCATACATAACTTTTGAGGTTTAATCAAAAAATACATCGTATTAGTTTATACAGTGTTGCATAATTATATGCGGATTTTATGAATTTATGTCATTTAAGAAACATTTTGTTTAAATGAGCTAATTTGATTAACCGTAACTATTGTTCACAATGTAAATGAATTGAAAGAATGCACTTCTTAGCATTAGTCTTAGTTTCTTTTTTGTAATGTGTTTTTGTTTTAAACTTAGAATTGGTTTTGCTGCAATAACCACTCACTTATCATAGTCATATATTATGTAAATACACTGGTGAAGAAATCTTTGAGCTACTGTAAATAATTTTAGTAATTCGACATTTTTCTGTGTCGAATTTTATTATGCTTGAGTAATTTTCATTATCTTTATTCAAAACATCAACAGTGTCCTTAACAGTATCAAGAGATGTGATATACTCTACATGTTTTAAATGAGCTTACATTCTGCTTATCTTCATTTTAAACGGATTGACTTCGAAAGACGTTGTTTTCATCATATTCACATGTATTTTCTTCACTTATCAAATAATCGATAAAGTTAACCAAAGCCTGAAACATGATAGAAATTTTGAATCAGTAGTCTATAAGCTACAGTCAACCCTGTTTTCACTGAGTGGTCTGATCAAACAGTACCGACTTTTGTACTGACGTATTATATTTCATAAAGCATCACAATAATAAATTTTATAATAAACAGAATTAAATTCCTTTTAAGTAGTATATACCTCCCACTGATACTGCTTAATTATAAAACTAAAATATTTGATTATTGTGATTTTTATTATGTATGTTAAAGTTATGGAAGAGAACACAATGAAATAGAATTTACTCCAATTCGCAATGATTCAAATGAATTATTTATTTGAAATATTAATTCATTCAGTCAGGTTTATTTTATTTTAAAAACTAAATTACTTTTTATTTTGAATTTTTTCTGATCTCTAGCAACAAATTCGTCTACTACTAACAATAATAATCAATTAGATCGTACAACTGATGTAGAAATTGTTCAATCAACAATTGAAAAACGTAAAGCACAATTTCGTTTACAACATCAAATGAAACAATTTTGTGGACCAGATATAAAATTCAATGGTCTAATTAAATCAGATGAGACTACTGATCCACAGAGTAGTAAAAGTATCGATCAAACAACTCATTTACAAATGGATTTACATAATTTATCGACTGATCTAAGAAATTCCTTTGGAAGACCTTTGATCAAGATTAATCCATCATTATGGTAAGAATTTATTTATTTGACAGTTCAATAATTGATGAGTATAGTGATAGTAAACAGGATAGAATCGGATATAAGAGGACTGTGAGGAATAATAAGTTGATGGACCACCTTCAACCAAGTAATCTTTGATTACCATATAGGAATCAACAACTGTTTTAATCTATTTTTTAGGTATACAGTTAAGTAACGTCAATCGACCGGTACTTTCAACATCATTTGTTCGATTTCACTAGTTAGATGAAAGTACATTAAAACAGTAGCTAACTGTCTCATTCATATGACACTGTCCGATATATAAACATTTTATGTGGACAAACAATTTTCTTTTGCGAAATTTCAGAACATAGGTGGTCACGGGCGTCATAAATAGGTCATTGGTTAAATTTCAAAATATCCAATGGGTTCTGTAGGCTCAAATCTCGTTGGGTGAATTAATGTCGTCAAGATTACAGATCTACTTTATTGATGAATGACAAATAGCAAGTAATTTAGCTTCTCAGTCTTCTAATGACTACTCCTAACAACCTAACTTTAAGACTTAGTGGAAAAAATATATACAGTAATTTACAATGTCGACCACATTTCAACTTAATCGATCGAATTCAATTATCAGTAATATCTAAAGAAATACAACATTGATTACTACATAAGAATTCAGCAAAGTCAGCGGAAATAACTGTAGTGCTACAGTGTAATCAAATCAGTCAACAGGTCGAATGCTTGAATTTAACCACATCCTGTTGATTAGTATTTCTGGATCTTACTTGAATAAAACTTAGTACTTGACAAGTAGATTTCATTAAAGTTAGTGATACCTCAGTTTGAGATTCTCGACAGGTTGTTTGAAACTCCAATGCTAATTAGTATTAGTTTTTTTTTTAGAAACACTAACTACTCATAATTTTATACTTTAAGTAAAATTTCTGCTATACTCGTTAAATGATATGCTGGACACTATTACGAGTTCACCTTAGTCGGCAAACAGGAGCGCAGAGAATGAGCCAGTGACACGATGGGCGTCCCAAGGTCCCACTAAGTAGAGGAAGAAGTCTTGATATGACGTAGAAAGTGTATTCCACAAACATCCAGAAAACACGAAGTTGACATGCACACAAATCGAGTTTATTTATACATGATAGAAACCTCCTTAGAGGAGTCATAAAAATAGCGTACTAAAATAATACATCAACCAATGACAGTCAAGGTTTTCTCAAGGTCAGTTGGTCAGCCCATGCGCCACAACACGAAAAATTCAAAATTAGAACCTTTATAAAGTGAGTTCTGAGGATCCAACGTTCCCAACAATTTCAAGCGGAAAAATGCCCCCATTGAAGATATAATGGTAAATTGTTTGAATATCAGTACAAACCAAACACTACATAGATTATTTTACATTTAAACTAATTTACTACAGAAATGGATAATATAACTTGTAAAATACCCAGACGAATTATATATATATGTATTCAATACAAATTGTAGATTAGATCTTAATGAATGTGTTATTCAAACATTGTACTAGCCTACAAAGATGGTATTATTGAAAATTTCATTCCCAAATATGTTATTGAAGAAGTGCATATTTATTTCAATTTTTCTGGAAAAAAAAAACAATTTTAACTTTGTTCAAAGATTTAGAAAAGAAATTAATATAATAACGAATCGTATGTCATAGTGCGTGTATGTGTGTGTAAACATTTATAGTTTATCTATTATAACTGCGATCATTAATCATTTCACAGTTGCTTTTTTTAATAAAAAAATAATAATACCAACGAAATAACAGCCAACTATAGAATGTTTAATAATTTCCTGTCATAGTGATTTATTGTGTTGAATACTTGTTTAGTTTTTGAATAAGTTTTATCATAAACAATCAGCGTTTTCATTGATAATAATAATAATAATGCACAGAGTTATTCCACTTTTTTAATTTAAAATTAAATGTATCGAGGTATTTTAAACATATTTTATTGCGTAATACAACATATTGAAAACAAACAAACAGGCTTTTAAACTAGTTGGACAGCAGAAAGCAGTGAAAAACTTATTTGATCATGTTTATATTTTTCGTCAGCTGACTAGATAACAAACACACTGCGGTGTTGATGTTAACACTGGTATCAGTAGATGAGACGACAAGACACTAGATTCTAGAATAATAAGTACTAGATTCGAATTCCAGTTTGAGGTAAACAACATTCTGCTGACAAGGTTTCAGATAGGACGAAATGCACTTTTTGAATTGTATTGTTAATTATATCAAAACTTTACTTGATATTGTAACTAAACAGTATTATCTTATGCATCCCTTCAAGATGAATATCTCTCACTTGTTGGGGACGTTAGATGCCCAGAACTCACTTGATGAAGGTCTTAAATTTGGATTTTATTCAGTCAACCATGAGATCACATTTTCCACCAGGAAAATCCTAGGCTATGATGATTGGTTGATGCGTTATTTTGGTGTGCTTTTTTGTGGCTCTCGCGAGGACGTTTCTAGGATGTATGAATAAATGCGATTGGTGTAACTGAGATCATTGTATTTACTGGCTGTTTTTAGAATACACTTCTCCGCCATATCAAGACTTTTTTCTTCAGTTAGTTGGGGCGACGGTTCAGATTAGCATACGGCGTCACTGGTTCATTATCTCGTTCTTATTTATCGACTAAGGTGAACTCTTAATAGTTTCAAACATATCAAGTGACGAGCACAACACAATAAAGATTTATCAATGATTAACATAATATAATATGAACATATATATATATATATAACATACTACAAACTGAAGCAAGTGCAATAATTAATTTTGATAGTTCTGTTTCAGCCACTTTGGAGTGCGATATCTAACGAATAAACAAATGTACAATTTTTAATGGTTAATATTTGTTCGTTTGTTAAATAATGAATGAAATTGGACGATTGAATTATTTTAATTGTACCCATGATACATTATAAGAACCGATATCTTTTAAGAATTCATGAAATGAAGTTTCATGAATTTTAGATATTTTTTTATTTTCAAAATCAAAATGAATTTTCTTTCGACTGATTTAACTTGCCCTGATTGATCATTACAACACAACAAATCAAAGTTCACATTATCTTTTCTTAAAAAAACATTTTCGTAATTGATAAGCTAATAAATAATAATTAATACAAACAATGTCACTACTGATTGGAATAATCAGTAGATTAACATTAGTAAGACAAAATCATCAAATCGATTATTTTAGTTCAACTTTCAATGGATTTATAGATGAAAATGACTATTGACATTAAATGACAATAGACATAGAAGATATTCTTTTTCCGAAAAAACATGGACACAATTTTATTTCATTTACATCATTAATAGGAATTAGTTGTTATTTTGAAAAAAATAATCATTTTATTCAGTTTCATAAACATTGATATACTTCCACTGAAATGATGCTTTCTATTTTTCTTTCTATTCACTTTGCATAAAATGAATGAAAATCGTAACTGTGATTATTTATATCATCATGTCAAATGGAAACCAGTGGACAACGAAATATTCCATTAATGCGTGTTGTTCAATCAGTTCGTCATACTAAATGCTCTGGAAGTAGTTTAATTATAAGAGAAACTTGGATGGTTCATAGAACTAACAAGGATCCAGTTGTAAGTAAAAGAAGACTATCATTATTACGTATATATCTATATATATAAATATATACATATATAATGGTTTAAAATATTTCATAATTTAGACTGAGCAATATTACAGGTTGCTGTTAATAAAACCATGAAAATGTGCCCACCATTCAAAATTAATTTATCAGACGTTGATTTTCTATTATTTTTTTTCCAGTTGTTAGTTAGATATCCTTTGTGAATGCGTATTTTATAGCTGATTAATTATTTATTATAGTAAGTTTAGGATAATTAGTTAACTACGTAATTTAATCGGTTTGAAGTGTAATTTTTCCTTTCATATTCAACAATGTTAACTGTTGTTTTCACAAGAACGACCTTTCAAAGAAAATCGATTCACGTACAGGAACGCATGTTCACGTTGAAACTGTTTGCACTGTTTAACCTACTTTATAAAAATTATGAATTCATCTCGAACAAGCAGTAATTTTCTGAGTATTTAAATTTTAGAACTTACTAAAGAATATTCGCTGGTTTATGCATGCTAGTTCTTAAATATTTTCAAGCTGTTGTATGTTAGTAATAGATATTTGATGATATGAGTTTAAGATTGTTTTACGTATTAAACAGTGTTCTTCGAATCATTGAACGTTTATCCTCGGACAACTGAGTAAGCGATGTTGTTGTTAGGAAATGAGTGCTAAGTAAGGAAAGCGAATCACTAGATGAAGTAGTGAAACTTCGTCAGTTGGGGTGGCTAGAAGATATGTTCCATATTCCTAACCACCGACTGCCTTGATGAGCCATGATTTTCATTGGAAGAAAGTCAGGGGTGGCCAAATCAAAACACAGCAGAAATCCTTGAAGTCACTGACAACTGAACTGAGTTATGTTGGTAGATGTAGACTACCTGGTTGGGGTTCGTGAGATGAAAGTTAAGGATGATTAGAGACCTTGAAAGACATGGCTCAAAACAGTTTTCAGTGGTGTAGGTGCATTCATTCTTTGTGTTCTCTGAAATCCTAACCTTTGGAATTCCTCATCACTCTATCTTCATCTTTTTAAGTTTATTTTATTAGATTCTACTTCTTGAATAAAACCGTCGAACACTAATCTTCTCCATTACTGCTAATACTTCTACTATCTCTACCACCATGAGACTTTAACTGACAATGGCGTCTCTGTGCTAATATGATATGGCAACCTGAACTGATGTATGTACATACAAAGTTCCATGTTGTATCTGACTGACTGAATTATCGTAAAATATTTTATTCCATGCAGTCATATAATAACGATCAAATGTAAGCATATATCCACATGGAGTTATCCATAAACGATCAATATGTGCAGCGTTTCGTTATTGTTTGTAGTAATAAGCTCCTAATTGATCAATAAAGTAACTTAAATATGATATAACCACTTTGAACCTTTATTTCCCTCGTGTAAGTGTATTTTAAAACGACTGAAAAGTTGCATAGTAGGACATCATAACTTCAAACAAATACTTCCTGTTTTCGTTTTTCTTTTTAAAAAACTTTTCATAATTAATTCCTTTCAAATAAAGAAATAAATTTCATCAGTTTGAGGAGAATAATGTTTTGATTGCATGTACAAAAAAAGATTTTAAACTTTTAAACAAATTTTTTCCGTCAATGAAGAGAAAAAATAATATACTCAGCGAAAAAAAAAGATTGAATCATTTTATTCATTTGTTTGTTTTATTTTTACAATATTGTGTGAAGTTGACATGAAACACCCAAAAAATAATTCAAAATTATTAATTTGTCAAAAAAAGAAAATGTAAGGAAACATGTAAAACAATATTTAAGCAGAAACACAACCTCCCCCCACCTCCAATAAATTATTTTCTGTTTTACTTTATACTGACATACATAAAACTTGCTACTCTGTTATTGAAATAAATTTATCAGTGTAGATTTTCAAAAAAGTTTGATGCAAACTATTTTTTTCAATTAGAGTTATGATGATTATTGTTTTTACACATTTGAAATCATTAATCAATCATTGTTAGACCATCATTAGAAACCTGGAAGCCTATGGACGGCCGTTTCGTCCTGGTATACGACTTATCAGCAGTGCGCATCCACAACTATTGTACTTTACAGGATTCGGTCTTGTGAGTGAACGCCTAATCTCCAAGTCACTGACTGGGCTGGCATCCAATGGAAAAATATCTAAATCTAATCATTCTAGGGATTTTGTGCAAATGGCCGTCTAGTGCCTTCAGGTTTTTTAATGGTGGTCTAACAATGAGTGATTAATGATTTCAAATGTGTAAAAACTTTTTTCACACAATCAATGGACGATAATATATTCATTTACTCAATATAGATGATTATAGATGGGGTATTTTGTTGTCGCTACTGCTGCTGCTTATTTTTTTCTTATCAGTTAGTTACACATACAAGTCAAGCAAGTTTTTTAGATGTCAGTGTGATTCCTTATTTTTCAATTTATCAAATGAATTGTTTATCAGTTGAGTGGTTTACTGTTGTTTGAGTAAAAATAATTAATTTCTTTAAATATTAGAAAAAAATTTACTTGTTAACATTTCAAAATAACATTAAACTTTCTTAGTTTGTATTTAATACCAATAATAATAATGATAATAATCACGAATGATCAGGCTGATTGATACAGGAAGATGCTATGTTACATGTAAAGAACCGGCGAAAATTTCAATTAAATTAAAATAATTTTAACTATAAATTATTTCTAGTGGACGACATTTCTTGTTAGAACTAAAATAAATATAAAGCTGTAATTATAAACTCATTATTTCTCTAATATGGAGAAATAGACCATCTTGTTGGTGAATGTGAATAGAAGAATAGAAACGAAAGAAACAAATGAAAACAGTTAAAAATTACTGTTGATATATTTATCATTTTAAAAGATGTTCAGTTGTTTTGTATTCTATGGATTTAAACAGTATTTATTTATTGTTGGTTTAGGGATAACAATCAGATGTTCAGTATATAAACAATTATTGGACATTTAATTTCATTATAATTTCACTGGTGGTTTAGAATTGACATCATAAGTGTAAGTGTTTTTAAGGTAGTTTGAGAGGAGTGAGTATTCATAAAAAAGGTAGGGAATTTTGCAAACAGATTGTGTGGAACTATTCTAGAATTGAAAAAAATTTATCTACTGAGTAATTCGTGTGGGTAGAAGATTTAGATTGAAACATGTTTATCTTCGGCAATGAAGTTATGAATTTTGTGATCAGGTGTTTTTTGCATATTTGATTACATCAGTTAAAATAAAAGATAGTTTATTTAGTATAGTGAAGATAAGCGTTAAACTTGGTTCATTTCCACGCCTCCATAAAGCATTAAATCGAAGCTTAACTTATATCATTCCACAGTTTATAAATCAATGCTGGACAAATTCAAACCTACACTTTTCCCATATACGATTTAACTCAAAACTAAAGTACAGACCGATTTGTGAGAAAGTAGAAAATCACAATGATTACACCTTCATTTATCCTCGCTTAATTTAAATAAACAGATAATGATATTTTTTTGAAAATTACATAAGAAGAGAAAAAAAAGATTAAATTTTATTACACAGATATAATTGTTATGCAATTCAACTAGGAAACATTAATTCATAAGCCCGTTAATGAAGCATGTTTTCATTTGGACATCTGATATTGCTGCTTACAAGTTGAAATTCGAACTGCATGAAGCGTTGCTTTAATCAACGAATCATAGCTACATTTAAGATAGAGAAACTGATTAAATTTACCTTTTCATCAAGTAATATTCAATTTTTTTATTTTCTAATTTCACAAAAATCGTTTTATTTATATCTGTTTATCCAAATTGAATGATAATCAGTGTTGAATCAATCGGGTATGCTTTCTCTCTTTCTTTCTATAATACTTTACAGTTTTACAGTTTATCAAATTATTTATTAAAATTTTCGAAATATTTTTTTATGACGTAAATGAGCACAACCTTCAATTATTGATATATATATATATATATATATATATATATATATATATATATATATATTTGTTCAACTGTCTTATCACGTGTATTTGAACAAATCATTTTTTATCATTCTGACTATACATTAATTCATAAAAATATTTTATTATATGAGGAGAACTAGACAAAAATAAATAAATAATAATTAGACAGTAATCATGAAAATTCTTTAAAAAAAAATTGGAGAGAGAGAAAATATGGAGATATATAATAGCAGTAAACAAGTTCACATTCTTTTATAATGAACAAACCATTCACAACTATAATCTCTCTGTAACATGATTTTCGTGAATTTGATTTGATATAGGCTATGTTTTTCTCACTCCTTAGGATGTAAAGTTTGAAATTGTTATGAAATCTATCCTGTAAGCAGACTTTGTTATTCAGTTCGGTATAGAGGAGCAATAGTTGTTCATTTGCATGTGTTTATTCGAAATACAAATTTTAAACGGTTTTTGTGATTAGCAAAGTGTAAGTTTTATTAGCTTTAAATGAACAGGTTGATTAATTCTCTCAAGTAAATGTATGTGTATGTGCGCACACCTTCAAATTTGAAGTATATAACATTGTGTAGTATGACAATATTGATTTCTAAACGATGGTGTTAACTACCTTACAACCAAAGCACAAGTTTTGCTCTCTCTCTCTCTCTCTCACTTATGATTTGCTTAGTTATTTTCAAGCTTCATTTTAAAATCTTTTTTTAATATGAAGGGCTTTTATTGATCAAAAAAGAATGCAGAACATATTTTTAATTCATTTTACTTCAATCTCAATAAACAGCCTGAAATTTTTTTCCTTCTGTATTTTTTTGGGGACATTAGATCCCCAGAACACACTTGATAAATGTCAGAATTTTGGATTTTATTCATAGGCTGATCAGTTGGCCTTGAGATCACATTTCCCACCAGGAAAATCCTTGGCTGTGATTGGTTTATGTGTTTTTACAATGTACAAATGAACGCGATTTGTGTACTTGAGATCACTGTATTTACTGGCTGTTTTTAGAATACACTTCTCCGCCATATCAAGACTTTTTTCTTCATTTAGTTTGGGTAACGGATCAGAGTAACCTATCGTGTCACTGGTTCATTGTCTCGTTTTCGTTTGTCGACTAAGGTGAACTCGTAATGATTTCAAACATATCAAGTGACGAGCATAACAATTTTATAAAATAAAACTTGTGTAACTTCAAACATTGTTTTTATTTATATAGGCTTTTTTATTCAACGATTTTACTTAATCACGTCTCTATCGATTTAAAAATTCATCCAAATTGTTTTGTTTTGATATGCTATCCGATTGGTTTTTTTTATGGAAACAAATGTTTAACTATTCAAATAAAAGAAATTCAGCTCTATAAGTAATAATGACGCAAGAAAAATGATTGATTAACATCATAGGAAAATAAAGGTTAATAAATTTGTCATTTTTTATGACTGGGTGATCACAAATATTTCTTCAACATCGACTTAATACTTATAGTTGGCAAGGAGTAGGAACCACTGTCACTGTCACGATTCGACTTCAATACACAAAAACTGGTACAAATGAAGATTGATTCACTACAAGATATGACGATGACTCTAGTCGAAAAAAACACTCATTTTTGAATTGATTTGTACGAATTACCAAAAAAAGTCACATAAAAATGCAGAGAGTTGTAGGAAATCACATTTCGCATACCGATTTATCAATCCTAATACATGATGATACAGTAATAACCTTATTCATTACAGATTCAATAATTAATTCAGTATTTTAATTTGCCGAAATTCTCATTTTTTTATTTTAAATTTATATAAATATTTCCCAACTTAATATATTCATACACATACACGTCTACGTGATATTTTCCTAGTTCTGTCATTGTTCTATGTTTTCAAATAGGTAAATGTTGTCGAAGTTAACTTATTACTGAAGTAAATAATTACGTGATACACACAAACGATCATATATATTATTTCTTTCATGAATAAAACTTACTTTATTCAAATTAACAAGCAGTTAGTCTTTCCTCTTTTTTTTCTACAGACAAATGAATAAATGAGCCTTTTTTTAAAAAAAACAAGTTTTATGAAAAATTTGAAACTAGACAACTAGCTTTTATAGAAAAGACAAAGAATTTCGATTATCATGTAAATTCGTTTTTGTTTCTCAATTTTTTTTTCAACTTTCATTTAGTATGGATGTATGATCATTATTATAATATTTTGAATGATCTGCACGAAAACAAGTTTTTAAAGTTTTCTGTGAATTAGTTTGCTTGATTAAAACATACAAATCAACTTTAATGATTTGTATGTATGTATGTAAGTACATTCACTTAAGCATAATTACTTCGTTTGTTCAGTGTCAACTTTACTTACTTACTTACACACTTATTTAGGTAATCAGTCATGTGTGAATATAAAGAGTATTTTATAGTTTGGTTAGTTGAGCAATCACTCTGTGTGTGTGTCTGTGTGCTGTATTTTATCCACTTGACCATCTTCTACCTACTTCTCTTTGTATATTCATTAAACTATAACTAATATAGATATATATTTATAAACAGAGAGAAAAGCTAATTCATTGACCTCCCGGCCCCCCGCCTCATTTCAGTTAATCACTTGTATGCTTTGTAGATTTATTGGTCATTGAATTTTTAATTTCAGAGTATTTTAAGGTCAAATTCTTAATTGACTTCTTCCGATTTTGTTTTCCCATAGAGATTACACATTTTTTGATGTGAATAGATTTTTTCTTTTTTGACATTTAGTTTTAAGCAAGAATTAACATTGAGTATAATGATGCCATTTAGACTAGTAATAAAAAATTAGGTCAATAAAATTTGAATCTCAAGGATAACAAGTTAGAAACAATGATGTTTATAATTAGTGTTGTAAAATATTTCTCCTAGTTTGTAAAATGCCTAACATTTTATCATTCAGTATGAAAAGCTTTTGATTCGGGAGAAATCTTTGTTGCAATTATTCACACTCTGAATATCCTGCATTTTTTTGGGGAGAATGTTACGTGTAAGTTACTTATTTGGGACTAACATAAAAATAGGCGAATATATTTTTGTCGAAAATTGATTATTCCGAAAATATCAACTGAAAGCTTAACTTTCAAGTTTTAGCAACCAGGAAAAAGCATATAACTATCGTTCGTTCAACTATCAATTTAGCTTTAGATTAAGAGAATTTCGGTATAAAACATCTCTAGATTTATGCAGTTAAAAAGTCACTAACTCATAAGATATATTCCATGATAAGTGTCATAGTTCCTGGTTATTTGCAAAAATCTATCCAAATAACATTTTCAGCAGTATCTTGATGGCGGGGAAACAACTGTAGTTACGCAACCGAATATGGTATTGACGTGCTATTTGCTTAACATATAGTGTTACGTTAATTAACTTTTAGCTTCAAGATTTCCCTACATCAAAAACTTTTGTTTTAGAACTTTCATCATATTCTTTTTAGGTTTCATACAATCAATGGAAAACACGAACGATCACAAGCATAGATTTTAATAAAATCAACTAAATGAATTATGAAATAGACATCGCCAACCCTGTCGGATGTAGGCAGTAACTACCAAAGACATATGAGTGAGGTCACACAAAATCTCTAGATCAATCAGAGTTGGACATTAACACCGTTGGTCCAGAGGTTAGGCGTCCGCGTGCAAGACTGATGGTCCTAGATTCGAATTCTGCAAGGTGCAGAAGTCTTCGATTCTCACTACCAATGAGTCCCATATCAGGACAAAACGGTGGTCCAGTGTTTCTGGGTTTCTAAAGATGGTCTAACAATAATTGATTGATGATTTCAATGTATAAAAACACTAATCTCCATAACTCTAATTGAAAATAAATTTCAGTAATTTATGAAGATTAGATTTTCTTCATAAACGTTTATTCTATGACATTAAACTCATTCGTTGCATTTACGTACTTGTAAACTACTGAATTTTAATGACTACTTCATGAAACACATGAAACACACACTTCATAAACACAATAGTATATTAAGAAATTATATTTATTTGTTGGAATTGACGAATAATAGCGCGTTTTTTTTTAAAATTTATCTTGTTTTTCTAAAAAAAAAACAGTAAAGTATTTCTTTACTGATTAAGGAATATGCAAGAGATTACAAAGTATAGCAGTAAATGAAGAGTAACTACCAAATGCATATAACTTCTTTATTATGATAATAATAATAAGTAAAACGAAAATAACTTCTTCGATATCATTGGAAGATCAAAATTCTGTTCTGATTATCAACAAACAAAAGAATACAAATCATCATGAACAGAAAAAAATAGAAAAGACTTTTATGTCCTTGATAATTTTATTGATTAAACATTGACATTATAAAAAAAAATGTTCCATTTTCTGCTGTACACACTCCGTTTGTGTTTAATTCACAGATTTTATTTACAAACAATGGTCAGTGAAGTGGAATTAGACAATTTAAGAAAAAATATATTTTCTAGATATAAGTTAACCATTACTTATTATTGAAATTTGTAAAACAACAAGTGTTGTTTGACTTAAGGTTTTGACAATTGCTTTACTTTTTATTGATACGTGTATATTTGAGTTGTATGTACTTGATAAAGTTACATTTTATTAATATAATCAACCAATCATCAAACAACAATACTCTATGAAGTACATTTTCAACTTCATTGCTGAAAATTTGAAAGTTCAACACGTATATTATATTAGAGTAACATATAAATAAGAGAACAATATTATTATCAATCAGATCGTCATCAAGATTTACTTTAATATACATGAAAATGTTAAACCAATCAATTCAATGAATGAGTCATAATCTCAGTGAAATGAAATAGATTACGTAACTACACATAACAGGTACAAGTTGATAGGAAGGAAACAGGTGTACTGATAGTAGTGAGAATAAGGAACTATACGATAACAAATGTTTTTGTCAATAGTTCAGTATTAGAAGTACTAGTTCAATGGTGGATATTTAAAATAATAATCACAAGGATCTATTAAAATTACGTAATGAGATGAGTGTAAAATAAGCAGATGGTGAAGAATATGAACGGGAATAGACAGAAAATTACAAGTAGATACAGGATATGAAAACATTACTAATGATGGTAGAAAAATTCCAAAATTGTTCATCAAATTATTTCCAGCCAAGTACGGAACAGGACAGACACGAATTTCTTCTGAACTCATAAACAGGGGTTGAATGTTCAGATTCCTATGGCTTCTGCTCTCGCAGAGACAGGATTAAACTCCGTTGAGAAATGATGAAGGTTTGCGACCACTCGAAATGATTCTATTCTATCTATGTTATGACCATTATCAATCAAGTGCGCCGAAATAGAGCTGCGTATTGTTTTAATCTGGCCCTTTCCAACCCATGTTGGGAGATAGCTCACTCACTCATTGATTACGTTGTTTGGTAGTACATATACAGTAGTCCCACTTCGTTATTATATAGTTTTACTTATGCATATGATGCATTAAACAGTTTGATATGTGTATCCTCTAACATAAAATTCTATCATAAGTGTGAAATATTTAAATAACATTGTCATATCAGCCTCATATTAATAGATTCTTGGGAAATATGCATCTTATTTTAACATTACCCCTCATGAATGAGGTGACAAGTGTAATTTTAACAAATGATTTATTGATTATTAGTTGATTACCTAGTTCTTGAGTTGAAATTATTACAGTATTATGATATTACCTATTGCTAGAATGGTAAATTTTCATGGTCAACATCAACTACATACAGAATCCCTTCAGATTTAGTTTTTATTTTAAATGTATAATATTTTCTTCCATTTTCATTCTAATTTATTTACTTTTTATCGACAATTGTAGTTGCGTCGACATTTTTGGCGTCTTGGAACTAAATCGATAACAATGTTTTATCATGAGAAGACAAACCGATATTTTAAGGTAAGCTGGATGGATGTTCACTGTTTTCTTGTATACGTCGTATTTTTTTTAGAAGTTACACACTTCATAGTTATGGTGTTTGCTGAATTCTAAAAGGTGGACATTAATAACGTGATTGTCTTAGGGTTACTAGCCATTAGATGATCTTCTTATACATTTTTTGAACAAAAAGGTACGAAAATTTCTAAGTCGATATATAATACAGAAATTACTGAAGAAGTCAACTTGTCTCATTATGAACAGAGAATTAGGCAGGTAGCCTAGTTCCAAATACCTAAAATTTGATTGTTTTTTTTTTCAAATTTACATCTGAATAGTTAAGTGATTAATAGGCAAATCCATCACAGATACCTATTTTTCAGCCTTCAGAATATTTACGAACTTCACAATAACACATTGTCGTTTGCATAAAGTTATTGTACATTACAGCCCTCGTTTTGTGGAATTTCGTCCAACACAGCTAGAATGATTACTTTAGTTGTAATCTTCAGGTACTACTGAGAGAAGCTGATATTTATTGCTCTAGTTATCTTTTTATCATTAAATATTGTGGGAAAAAGCACAAACAATGGTTATATGCCTTTTTAAAGTCATTCAGAAGCATATTGTATCATTTACAATAATCACTAAATTTTAAAAAAAAATTTGGATTGCACTGAATTGGTCTTGTGGCCGTTGGTTTAAATTTCAAGTAGTATTTGTCGTAGTCGGCAAATTAGTGACTTTCTTCAAAATATTCCTACAGTTCTAGTTAGTTGCTTGACCAATGGATTTCAAGTATATTAGGAGTGAACTAAATGTCATTAATGGTATTATCTGATCGTCACCCGATGAGGATGAGCTCAATAGTACTAATTGAGAAGTCTTTGTCAAAAAAACATGAGCGTCCAGATATTGATTTCCGGTAGAGTCTTGGATGTTGAATAGCCCAATACTGACACTAAACAGTTATTTCTTGCTCTTTGGTTTCACGATGGAGCTTGAAATAAAACCAATGTGCGACGAACAAAATTAGATTCACTATAAGTATCAGACTTCTCAAATAAATGATTTCAATTTTTTAATAGGTAGTTTGATCCTAGTTTCTCTAAAGGCAAGATGAAAATCAAACTTATGTAAACGCTTTCTAAAAAAGTTTCTTGTTAATTAATAATCCGTATGCAGTGTCATTATACATATAGTGCCTGGTGCTGATCGATTGCTATCAACTATATTACAAAACAGTTACTGGTTTTGGCCACTGCCCGTCATGTTGGAGATAGTTCAAAAAGTAGCATAGTATTAATATTTTTAATTATAATACTGTATTACACCAAGAATTTCATGACAATCCTTAGTTCCATCAGCTGATTGTCTATTAATTAGACAATATAAAGTTAAATATTATTATTATTCAATGTTCAACTGGCCAATCTACATAGGTTAATGGTTTTCAGATGGTTTACTGGAAATACTGACATATTAAAAGTGTTATCTACCAAGAAGACAACCTTTTTTCTCAACTACATTTTTTTTTTTGAAAAAAAATTGAAAAATTTTTAGCCCCCTTTTTATTTGCTCAAAAATTAATCAATTTTTTTTAGAAGATTGTTTTCTTGTTTCAATAGAAATTAAAAAATTTGCGCTAATGAAATTTTTTTCGACTGTAATTTAATTTTTTTAACCAGTTATTTTGGTTGAATTAAAATTCTTCTCTGACGAACCATTGGTACATTTAAAATTACTAATTGGATGTACAATTTTAAACAAAATACCCAGTTTTGATTGTTTCTATCATTTTCCTTAAATTTTGACTGGAAAAAATAATTAACTCTAGGGAAAGTAATGCACACACAACAAATCCTATGTTCCGCCTTCCTTTGATGTACTGTAAATGTATTTAAGCTAATAAAATCTTAAGAGTAAACACAAATAAAACAAAACGAGAAAATGGTAGATTTTTTTTTATTCAATACAAATGAATTAATAAGTTGTGACGAGCACAAAATGTCTATGCATGGAAGCAATCTTGTCTATCGTCAACATTTTCCCAGTGATGTTCAATGAATGATTATCCAAGATACATTTCCAACTTCATTTTTCAATGTTCAATGAGTTGGCTTATGGACAAGTTGTTGTGTTGTTTTTTCTTAAAGGGTTCTGTCTAGACGTTTCTTGTTAATTGTAAGCTTTAGGTGATCAATTCACGGGCATCATCAGAGTCTCAGTTTAAATATGATTTCTACTGTGATTTATTAACCTATCACTGTGCTTGAAAAGTTCTCTAAGAAAATTCTCAAGAATTATCGTATAATAGAACCATTAGGTTGATTAGCCGCTGAGTCTGGCAGCAGAAATTATTTGATATTTACCATGCGATCGTTTTAAATCTTCTACTCATTGATATCCAATATAGAATAAATTATTGGCAATGATTTATTATTGGTTGATAACCGGTATACTGCTTGTTTAGCTCTTACTGCTAACAGATTTCTATTGAATAAATTTTAAAGGAATAAGTAGTCTAAATGATTCAATAATGCATTTGCTATGTTAAGATGGTAAATTATTAATAGTAAACTTTTTAACTTCTATGATTGTAAGGGATGCAATTCTGTAATTACTTCAGAGTATAACTTGTATAATCGACTTGTTTTGTGAATACTATACTTTGAATCCTGGTAGTTCAGAGATCAGTCGTCCGTGTGAGAAGTCAAAGATTTCGGGTTTTATTCTCGGCTACTGGAGTGGTAGGATCATACTACAGCGGCGTCCCACATTATAAAGAAACAGCTATTTGACGTTGAAAGGCTCTCAATTATTGTCTAACTTAAATGAGCTGATAATCTGAATAAAACTCGACAATCTTCTTAACACTATACTGATAAATCCAATAAAAGAATAACTAAACAACGAATTTCACAAATAGAATGAAATTTTCAGTATACACATCAGATTTACTACACTGGGATGTGTAATTACCGACAGGGAATGGCATAACTAGATATCAACACGTTAAGTTGTTGAATAGTTAGATATAAAGCTTTTCTATATTGCATGTTGACTCATGATACCAAACGATTTGAATAATCATATAGTACAGACTTTTTTCAATAGTTGCAGTAACCAATTATTGTTGTACGGTTAACATTCTTTCCTACTTGCGGAGAGCATGGACCATTGACTAGCATTCTAAAACCTGCTCTGTCCTGGGTAGTTAATTTCAAGTTATTGTCAAGTGCCATTCATTTTTTCTAATATCTGCCCCCAACTCCCAGTGTAATGTATTCTCTGGCTTGTCTCTTTTATTTTCGCCTTGAGGAGTTTAAGTTAGAACTTACCTTGTAATTTAATTTTCGACAGTGTGTTTTCTATCCACCTCCAGAGTCGTTTTCTAATATCCTCCTCAGCTAGGAGCGAAATTGTTCTCTCACACATTAGGGTTGTTGCTGATGGTATCTGAACATATTCACATCATTATTTTTGTCCATTAGTTTCATTGATATCATCATTGTACATTGATAAGTATATACTGAGTATATTTTGTTTTTATTTTCGTTCTTTCTTTCTTTCTTTCTTTGTTTTTATCATAGGAACTTAATTTAAACGATATTATTTGTTTAGAACCAGCTGGTACTAATCCTTATCCATGGTGTCATTCAAACACTATCAAATCTACAACAAATAACGGTTCAATTGTTATTCAGAAAAATATCAATGATTATGATACTCGTTTAAAATCATTAAATTTGAATGAATTTACAGCAAAGTTAAAAACTAATAATAACAATATTAATAATAATAATAATAATAATAATAATAATAATAATGAGAATGATACAAAATTGGATAATTCATGTATTATACCAGATCATGTGTTTGAATTACGTTGTGTTGATGATTTAATTTATTATGTTGGTCAATTAGGTTATATGGAAAGTTTAGATAATGAAAATGATACATCATCATCATCATTATTATTCAGTAAATTACATTCACGACGTAAATCCCATTTTCCGGCATTACCAACAGCTATATCCTATGTACGTAAAGCTTCTGCACCATTATATGGTTTAGTATATTTGCCTGAACCATTACCTCCAACAACAACAACATCTGGAACATCTTCAGGCCAATCTTCAACTACGAAATCATCGAATTTTTTAAAAGTTGATTTATCTCAATGTATGAAAACTCAAATAACTGGTCATTGTATTCAAGAGAATTTCATAAATGATGGTTGTTATCGTGTAGCTATCTTACCACCACCTCCAGGAACTGGATTAGATTTAGCGAAACATTTAGAAACAGCTATACGTCAATCAATGCTACCATTGACATCAAGAACAAGCTCACAAAAAAGTACAACAATTAAAAATGTAAATAATCATTTGCCACAACAACAACAACCAGAAACACAAAACTCTCTGCCTACATCAAGTATAAATGATACATTGAATACATGCAAAATTGCAGATAAAGATCTAGTTAACAAATCAGAATGTTCACAAATATCTCATGAACAAATTGATGAAAAAATTAATGAGATATCAGATTTAGAACGAGCTGAAGAAGATGATAATGGAACAGGTAATTAGACTTGAACAACTTTCAGAATGTAAAATGTTTAAACTGTATTTTTTTGTTTCTTATCAGTTAACTGAATAGATTGTCAGAATCTTATTCGATAGATATTGAATGTCATTTAGATAGTAACTATTTTCTTAAATGTACCTTAAGTCATCACGACGACTGCGTTGTAATTCACTGTCCGGCTCTCTCCTAAAATCACGTGAGTCAACAAGGTTAATTTATTCAGCAGGTACTTTTAGTTTTATGATATTCGAGACGATTAATAGGTCCATAGCCGTGATCATAATTTCAATATAAACACAACGCTCTCCATAATTCTATAATGCAAGAATCATGAAAAACGCTCATAAGTGACCAGCTTCGTGAGGAAGTTCTTGGAGTTCTAGTGGGAAGATGTGACCGGTGGAGTTCACCCCTGTCGGATGTAGGCAGTAACTACCGAAGATAAATGGATGAGGTTGCACAAAATCCCTATAGTGATTTGAGCTAGATATGAACACGGTTGGATGCCAGCCCTGTGGCTCAGAGGTTAGGCATACATGTACAAGATCGAAGGTCCTGGGTTCGAATCCTGCCAGCTGCAGGAGTCGTGGATGAGCACTGCTGACCAGTCCCATATCAGTACGAAACGGCTGTCCAGTGTTTTCAGGTTTCTAATGATAATCTAATAATGATTCATCCACGATTTCAATGTAAAACTTGAATCACTAAATTGATGAACTGTAACAACGACAACATAGGGACATACTCCTACATATATGGCAGCTTCAACACACAACACATTAAATGACTCATATTTTTATGATACACAAAGTTAACATTTGAAATTGATTGGGCAAGCGTTCAGTACACATTTGTATTAAATCTGATAATTTCCTGAAGAATCCCCAACTAGTTTACCAGGTGAAACATTAGAATTACTTAAATTTCAATAGTTTTTATTATTTAAAATATGATTTTTTATGTCACGGAAATTTTTTGATCTATTTGGAACGTTCTGTGCAAGTTTTGACTGATAAACATACTTCATAGTTGAGCACAGTAGCAAAAAGATTTATTTATCGATAATCACTTAAGACTGAATAAAATTAATCAATTGAACCCTGTTGGATAGATATTTTAGAGATATTTGTTGTACTAAATAGTTCGTTGAATAACTGATTCTCTAAAGATTGAAAACATCTCACGATAAACTCTATTCATAACCAATCAACTTAAACCACTAGTTTCCAAGTTGATTCATCAGAATTATCTAACATGAAACAACATGCACTAACTAAAAGCAGATTACTGGGATACGGGTGAACCAAGCTAGAAGTCAGTCAGTCATTTGCAACGTAGAACTTCGTACGTAAGTACATCAGTTCATGTCGCCATACCACATCAGCACAGAGATGTAATTGTCAATTCAAATCCAATAGTAGAAGAGGTAGTAAGGGTATTAGAAGGAATCGGAGAGGTTAGGATGAGAAGATATTATTCAAGAAGTATGATTCAGTGAGAAAAGTTTAGAAAGTCACAACTAGACGTGTTGAAGAATCCAGAAGATTAGCATTTGAGAGAACACAAAGAATAAATGCACCGGCGCCATTGCGAACGATTTTGAGCCATGTCGTTCAAGGTCTCTAACCATTGGTGCTTTTCGTCTCACGGACCCCAACCAGGTAGTCGACAATTACCGACATGGCTCAGTTCACTAGTCAATGACTTCATGGATTTCTGCCATGTTTTTGTTTGGCCACCCCTAACTTTCTTCCAACCTACTCCTACACTACAAAACAAAGCTCGTCGAGGCAGTCGGTGGTTAGGCATACGCAACACATGTCCAAACCACCTCAACTAATGAAGTTTCACCACTTCATCGATTGATCTGCATTCTTACCTAACACACGTTTCCTAATAACAGCGTTGCTCACTCGGGTGTCCCACGATATACGAGCAATGCTGCGAAGACACCTATGATCGAAAACCAGTAACCTACGAATATCCTCTATTCTGACTGGCCATGTTTCACAGCCATATAGTAAGACGGTGCGAACTACTACACAGTACACTCGTCCTTTAGTCAGCAAACGGATATCTCGCCTACGCCATAAGTGACGCAGGTTGGCAAAAGCCAATCGAGCCTTCTGTATCCGTGCTGAGATTTCGTCAGTCACCAGGCCATCGGCACTGATGAAACTCTCAAGATAAGTGAAGCGGTCTACACGTTCGACTACTTCACTCCCTATCACTAGTTCAGGTGCCGATGAAACCCAATCTTGAAGCAACATTTTGCATTTCGAGGGTGGAAACCGCATCCCGAACATGCTTGCATTGTTGCTTGTGGTAGTCAGAAGACTCTGCATTTTGTCAGCGTCTTCACCAAGTAGGACTATGTCATCGGCATATTCTAAGTCAATAAGCGAGCCACCTGGTAAAAGGTCTATTCCTGAAAATTCAGACGCCGATAAGGTTATTTCTAGCAGCATGTCAATGATAAAATTAAACAAAAATGGAGAAAGTGGACATCCCTGACGGACACCACTTGAAGTAAAGAATTCCGGTGACAGTTCGCCATAAGCCCTCACTCGACCAGTGGTGTTCGAGTAAAGAGCTTGTATAAGGTTAATGTACTTCTTTGGTACACCTTTCAATGACAGACACTGCCACAGAACCTCACGATCCACTGAGTCAAATGCCGTCTTAAGGTCCAGGAAAGCAACTATTGTAGGACGCCTAAATGTGTGTCTATGTTCCAGGACCTGTCTGAGTGTGAAGACGTGGTCTATACAGCCAAGTCCAGGTCGAAAACCAGCCTGGTTTTCTCGAGTCTGCTCTTCACGAGCTTTCGTTAAGCGTCGAAGTATTATTGAGGCCAGTATTTTAGATACTATATTAGTTAGACTTATTCCCCTGTGATTGTCACAAGAAGACTTTTGTCCTTTCTTATAGATTGGGACAATCAGTGATTCAGACCAGTTGGATGGGATTGTGTCCAGTTCCCAGATTCTACCTAAGATCTCGATCAACCTAGTTGCTAAAACTGGACCACCATCCTTAAATATCTCAGGGGTCAGTCTATCAGGACCCGCAGCTCGCCCTGGCTTCAGATTTCCTAACGCCTTTTCAACTTCGTTAAGACTAGTGGGACTTACGTCGATTTGCCATTCAGGATGACTGGAGATCGTGGGTAACCGAAGAAGGGCTCGAGGCCAGTTGAACTGATCCCTAAAGTGTTCTGCCCATCGATCCAGTCTCCTAGATTGAGAATAAATAATAGTCCCGTCATTTTCTGAGATAGTCTCACACTAGGATTCCTAATACCAGTTTCCTTGATAAGTCGGAAAAGTTGTCTACTGTTGCCGATCGCCGCTGCCTTTTCCATCGCTTTTGCTTTCGCCACCCACCACTGTTCGTGATCGTTACGTAGGCTTTTTATAAGTCTGTGCCTAAGTTGACTTCGTTCTTCATCATGTTCAGAGCCACGTGGGATGAGTTTTCTGGCATCCATCAGTTCGGTGGATGCGACTGAAATCTACGGATTCTTCCTCGCCTTATGGTTTACCTTACTAGAGGATATCACTGCTGTTTCCACAGCCTTCTTGATATCATTCCAAGCTGCCTCTGGATGGGAATCGCTAAAATGGTCGCCTAACTGTCTTTCTAGTTGTTCCTGAAATATATTTTTCGCCCTATCATCATTAAGTAAAACCCTAAGAGGCTTCCTTACGGTGTCTTTCCTACGCGCAGTAAGCTTCAAACAAATACGAAATCGCACTAGGGCATGATTTAAATCTAGACATGTGCCCCAGAACGAGCGACAGTCCTCTATCGAACCCCTCCATCGGTGGCTGATGGCGATGTGATCTAGTTGAGTCCAACGTTGAGACGACTTTGGAGGTCGCCAGGTCAACAGATGCTTTTCCTTCTGCCTAAAGTTATTGTTTGCTAAGAATAGGCGGTTGTCTGAGCATACTTGCAACAGACGGTCACCATTGTCTGTTCTCTGAGCCGCGACACCATAAGATCCACCTAGGTGTCTTTCATTTTCACTCAGTCTACCTACTTGAGCATTAAAGTCACCGGCCATTATAACTATATCAGAGCGCCTAGCTTTTTGGAGGAGGTCTGAAAGCTTTCTGTAGTCTAGAGCGGGGTTTAAGGAGACCAGGAACGACGTTTCGCGAATTCGTGTCGTCTGCATTAGCTGTGCACTGTGATAAATGAATGTGACAAGAGTTAATCGTTGAGATTAGAGAGGTATTAGGGGGTGTAGGAAGGATTTGATTTTGACCAATTCTCTCTCGTGTTCCGTTACGGGTATGAGGGCGGTTGTCACTTCCCGGCTGCCCACACCGTGTAAGGTTGTTTCTTGAGGGACGTGAAAAGGAAAATAGATTAGTTTTGGTCTTGGAGACCTAGGTGCGTGACCGCAGAGCACAAGGGACAACTGCTTGAGGCTGGTCACGCACGGCCTTTCTATGAGAGGTTTTTTGAGTATTAGCACCGTTCTTAAAGGCCCTTAGTGGGAACCCTTACCGCCGGAGACGGATATCCGTGAGGTAGGGTGAGGTGTGACATTCTTAGGGTCGACATTTTCTAACCCTCCCTTCCTTGTGAGAAGGCAGCATCGCTGCAGATGCCGGTTGTCCGAGGCAAACACCTTACTGCTGTCACACCTCTCTGCAGTCAGCAGTACGACTTCGCCCTCAGATCTTGGGTAGCTGCTTTTAGTCTGATCGTTCTCCAATCAACCTGCCTGGCATGGTAGAACCTGCAGGAACATATGTTCCAGCCAGTATAGCTCGGTTGGGTCATCACAATAGTCGAGTCCAACCACCACGTCAAGGTAGCAGCTACGGTCGTGCCAAGCTGAAAAGTTCTAATATAAATACACGTACGTTGCCGTTTTCATAGCTAGCTGAAATTTAACTCTACTTACTACTTAGTTAAGTTTTCAGAGCCTAAAACACGATCATCGTTATGGCACACAAGATAAACTGATCAGGATAACGTTGTATATAGGACGACTTATTCTTTTTTATTTCAATGAATAACTTGTAAAGTACTTTATCGTGATATCGGATTTCAATATGCCGCTTGTTTCATTTGACTCTATGCATACTACCGACTTTGTAGAAATTTCAAATTTTTGTAAAACAAAATGGTCGAACGTTAAGTGAACTCAGTCGACCTCTTCAATAAATCTGATAAAGTTAAAATAACATGGTGTAGAAAATTATGATTTGATAATTAACAATTAGAATTGATAATTATATGATTTTAGTTGAAATAGAGTGAAATATTCATTAATTCATTTTCAAAACCCAGATCGATATTTGTTCCATTAAAATTGCTGACTTCTGTAAAACAAAAAAATTCCTAATTCTAATAGGATACTGAGGATAAATCAGAAAAAGAAAGAATATTTGAGGTAATAATTGTATTGAATGGTTTTTTCTTCGGACTTAGTGGTTATAAATACATAATTACTGTACTATATTAGATAAGGTAAATTGATTCTACTCATAGCTGGAGTAAAAATACAGAAAGATAAAGCTTAACTACATCATTGCTTTGAAATAGTTATTCAACAATATTCATTACTTGTTACACCTGAGAAAGAAATGCTACGCTTTCATATGCACTACTACGCAATTAGAAAAATTATAGGCAAACATAGGATCAAGAAACAGATCAAAAGGGGGATACAATCAAAATAAAGGTGCGAATAACGACAGGTTTAAGATTAACAGCAACCAGCTGAGATTGAGGTTAACAGAACAAGCTACAAGTCAAGCGTGGAGAAATTCGAATACATCACTTCTATCCAAAGTTTGTGCTGATGATATTGTTCAGAAGAACAATGAAAGCTCCACAGCTAAAACATCCAGCTCAGAGAATGAAACAACACCACTACTCTACTCATCAGATAGTGACTATGGGTAATTGTTGGGCAGAGGAAGTTGTACAGTTAAACCAGCACATACACTAAACTTAAATGTATGAAAGTTTCTTTCTGGTGAAGAACCTTCAAGAATTCTCTATTGTTCTTTGTAAAAATTATAGTTGAAATGATCTCAGCGATTGAAATCTTAGATAGTTCCTGCGTTTCATCCAGCATTCTTGTCTGGACTTTCTCAGAGTAATATTGTTGATTACTAGTTGTTTATTATTTAAACTTATTGAGTTAAGGCAATTTAACACGGTCACAAACTGATCCGTAATAATGGTAATTAATGTAATTATATTACCAAGTACATGTTCGCGTACATAGCTTACAGCCATATTTCATCTGAGTGAGAATACTATAAAATTGCTTGTTTATTCATACCGTAGAAAACAAAGTTAGGTTCAACCCATCGGTTAACAGTCAAGCACTTTAAGCGTTAAACAGAAATATTCTGTTAGGTTATAGCATTTCAACTCGTTTTTTAAATTTTCAACAGAGTTTTTTTAAAATAACCACAGAGTTTTTTAAAATTTTTATCATCCTTAAAATGTCAGAAATGAACAGGAAAAACAATTTAATTTCAAATAAAAAACCCTCATAAAAAAGGTTGTTGAAGATGGGTACAATGTTAAAGATGCGGCATTTCTTGTGGACGTGAATTACCAGGCATTTTAAGGATTATAAAAAATTTTTAAAAAACGCTGTGGTTATTTTGAAAAAATTTTGGTTATTTTAAAAAACCCTGTTAAAAATTTAAAAAACAAGTTGAAATAACTATATTAAGGATAATTAACGTCAAACCATAGGCCGAGGTTAACTTCTAGTAAGCGTACCTGCAACATTTGATAGATGGACTGCCCATTTAGGATCTGAGACATCGTCATCCATCTGACATGTTACCACTGAACTAATCGAATCACAAATGATTGTCGGGACGACAGCTATTTCTGGTTGATTGATTACTAAGCAGTGATCATAGTCATTTTCCTTTAGTCCTTTAATGTTGATCATAGTGTTTCGATCCATATAATTCGCCTTTCTGTTTGAAATGGAATTTTCTTATAACACATCAGAAAATTAGTAAATTTAATCAGTTTATATTAAATTTTGTTTTAAAATTAATTTTAATAGTCACTGAAATCATGTCATTCAAAATAATATGCTTATACACTTTTATCAGTTAACACATTAGATAAAATAAACACTATGAAACAATTTGAAAGTTTTATGATTAAAGAATGTTCCATAATGTATGTAAATAGTTAAATGAACTAGTCACTTTTTATTCATTTCAACACGACAGACGTTTGCAAACTTATAACATGTCTGTTATTTCACATTACTCACAATAATAATAATAATAATAATAATAATAATAATAATAATAATAATAATAATAATAATAATATAGAGCTAACTAATCGAACTGATAAAATGACTTTTAACAATGTGTTTAACTACTACTCATTTTTGAAGTACATAGTTTGAAAATTTGTCCAGATGTTTCTGTTTGTTTTTTTTTTTTAAAATCTAACTGATTTATTTTTTCACATATTTCAAGTATTTCGTTTGCCAAATTCAAATAAACTAAACAATGTTTTAAAGAATTTAAAAGTAATTATTTTTACAAATTATTATCAATATTAAACGAGAATGTAGTCAGTTGTGTGATGAATTCTGGACAAGATGTAACAGACAACAAGCAGTATACAACAACAACACTAACTCATATGATTTCATATCAACACCATAGAGTAAACTGATGATTTCGTCCATCACCAGATTATGAGTATCGATGATATTTACGTGAACCAATTCTTTCTATCTTTTTATTTACTAAACTGTCTCGATAAATGTTAGTTAGTCTTGGATTGCATAACGATTGAAGTACCAAATTTTTCAAAGACAGTAAAACTTTCATCGCTAACCTAACTAATCTAAAACTCAGGCAATGAGAAAGTATACTGATCAAAATATTCAACTATATTATTCTTCCTTTGGTAATTTCTCATCAGCTAACACATAAATTCTTAGTTCACTTTTTTTCTAGTCTTTACACTAGACTTTTTATTGATATCATAAATATATTACTGATTTTTTTTTTACTGTATATCTTCAATAATTATTTATTTTTATTGTCATATTCACTAAACATTATTATTAGCTATTTCCACGTTGAATAATAATAAACTGTACAGTCGATTTTGCCGGCAGTTAAACTATTATTTACTGACGCTATTAAATAATGATGACTGTATAATAGTCACTAAATAATTCTGTCCCCGACTGTAGCTGCTACCTTGACGTGGTGGTTGGGCTTGCCTATCGTGATGACCCAACCGAGCTATACTGGCTGGAACATATGTTCCTGAAGGTTCTACCATGACAGGCAGGTCGATTGGAGAACGATCAGACTAAAAACAGCTACTCAAGGTCTGAGGGCGAAGTCGTACTGCTGACTTCATAGGGGTGTGACAGCAGTAAGGTGTTTGCCTCGGACAACCGGCATCTGCAGCGATGCTGCCTTCTCACAAGGAAGGGAGGGTTAGAAAATGTCGACCCTAAGAATGTCACACCTCACCCTACCTCACGGATATCCGTCTCCGGCGGTAAGGGTTCCCACTAAGGGCCTTTAAGAACGGTGCTAATACTCAAAAAACCTCTCATAGAAAGGCCGTGCGTGACCAGCCTCAAGCAGTTGTCCCTTGTGCTCTGCGGTCGCGCACCCAAGTCGTTAAGACAAACACTAACCTACCTTCCTTTTCACGTCCCTCAAGAAACAACCTTACACGGTGTGGGCAGCCGGAAAGTGACAACCGCCCTCATACCTGTAACAGCACACGAGAGCGAATTGGTCAAAATCAAATAATTCTGTATAAAGTCGTAGGTATATAGAGAAGTATGTAGAACTCATAAATTAAAACAACAACTATTCAATACTTTCTGATCTTCAAAGATTCTTTAACTAATGTTCAGCGGACAACGGAAAAACTATCTTCAAATCAACCTAATCCCTAGCTTAAATCGATTCCATTCGATACTAATCAATTTGTTGTGAAACTGCGAGGATTATTTACAGAATATAAAACTTACACAATATCAACAAAATTCAATCATGATCAAATAACTTTATCAAGTTTCAAATGGATATCCGTCATTAAATAAATAAAAATTTAGTTTAGTTTATTTTGTTTTCTTTGTTACGATAACTTGGACAATTTCGACTTTCCCCCCGTTTTACTTTTTCATTTACAGGAAGTTCTATCAGTGCTTTTATTGAAAGTAAACAATCTAGTGATAATGTAAGTTTATATATTACTTTTCTCTTTTTAGTGCATTATCTTTCTTTTCATATATAAATAAAAAGTTTATTTTGAATAGATTGAATAATAATATGAATTTATGTGATAAACATTTAAACAATTTCATAGGATATCAATCATATTGACTCAATCATGTATGGTCCATTGAACATTTTTACAAATAATGAAAAAGTATCGACGACTTGTATCCCCTAATTCAATTATCAATAATAATTATTATAATTAATCTTAAGCTTTTCGTATATCAATCTCAAAAATTTAAACAAATAAATAACAAATATTGGTGTTAATCATTTAAACGAAAAAAAGTATACATAATGTAATATTAGAAATGTCTAGAATCAACTGAATAAAAATATTGAGGCAGACTGTAATACGAAAGAATTGAAACTGTTAGATATATGAATATTCTAGATAAGCGTAGAAATAGAAATTTTTCTCTAAACAAAAAATAGATTATGTAATACGGATCAGTTGATAAGAGCTGAGAAAAACGATTGTAATCAAAAGATGATAATCCACCGAATTTACGAATTCATGTTACTCTGCTACAATGTTTTATTCTTTCTTATTTCAAATTTACAAATGAGAAAAATTGTATGAATAACGAATCTTTACTTTTTTCACTTGGTTTATCTGATATCGTACTGTTCATCTCGACTGCAATTTAAAGTACTATTTCGCTTTACACTATCCTATGATATTTTTTATAATTAAATGATATTTTTGATCAACAATTTTACAAATTTTTAAAAGACAGCTAATTCGAGATTTGTAGACCCAAGTCTCACTATGGGTTTCCTACAATCTTCTGTCAACAATACTAACTACTTACAAGTAGGTAAATGCAGTATTGTTAATTAGTTGTAGAACATGAACACCAGTCAATATTCATTTTTATCATATGAAGAGCAAGCTTTGAAATACGTAAGTTACATCCAACTGGTACATTTCACTACTGTCAGCTTCTTCAATTATTTACGTTTCACCAAGCAGTGAGTCTGCCAGCTTAGTGATCGATCGTCAAAACAGAATTTGGAAGTTTTATAGTCGAGACAACAGATTGTTTACTATCAGTCACCGGACGATTGAAATTCAACTATATCTTATGAAAAATAAAAGACCACTAATATTTTTTGGCAGGCGTAGACTAACTAATAGCCTTATTTTTTACCTTGATTTAATGAGTTGCTTATCAACCCAGTCAGCCAACTTACACGTAAAATTATTGCAGTGATTTAATTGAACAGTTTGTAAATCATTTATTAATGCCCCAGTTTAAATTACATTTTCTCTCATCTGAACTGGTCTCAACTAATTGATAAAGATATTAACAGAAAGCCATCAGGAAATCACCTATTAAAGGCAGTGGAATACAGTCACTCATAAAGTTGAATTTCATTGCCGTCATGAACTGATCTTGGTTAGACCACCTGCTAAAACCTGTAAGTATCAGATGGCCCTTTCATTCTAGCATGAGACTATTCAGTGGTGTGTAACCACCATCCTGCACGCAAGAATCGAATCCACTACCTTCGGTTCTGTACATGAAAATATGAATTAGATACTGATGATTGGTAGATACTGGACGTCTCAATTAAAATCATTTATCATCGATCTCAAAAGTATAATCGGTTCCGTTTAAGAAGCATACATCTGCATATAATTCAACCAAAAACTGATTGATTCATAAGTTGGTGGCATACCTTTATCTGTGTAAAAAACTTGACCAGTTGGAGTACTTCTTACATCTTTTACTCTATGCATAATATATATATTGCCTATTCAATAATGTCATCTCAAATGAGAGACGCTCTGTAGTTACGGGTGAATCGAAACCTGTGGCCAATACATGTTTGATACATTTAGTAGCACTTAATCAGAAAATAGATTACCTTACAATAGTATGTTTATTCTTCAAAAGATATCTCATTATTTTGTTTTCATGATTGATAGAATGAACCTTATTAACTTAAAGCAGATGAACAGCATTAGGTAAATAAAATGCTTTTCATTTACTCCCAAGCAATTTATAAAAGAATTGATATATTATAAGTACACCTTACAAGATGATAACTTATCGTTGGTTGTTATGATATCTAGATACTATATAGTCTATCTTTAATCTAAAGGGTAGATAACATTCCTGTTTTACAACTATATAGACTTCAGGAACCCTGGTATACTATATTAATTTATTTGGGGATATGTGTTTTAACTGGTATTTAATTGAACTTTCTGTGATTCTTGAAAAAGGAGATTATGAAGTAGAGATAGAATTTCAGATATTTAGGCCAATATGTTTTGCATAACTATTCAATAAAATTACTGTGTAAAAAATCACCAAGTGTGTTGTGTAACAACTCTATCCTTTGTAATTCCTGTTTACTTAGTTATCCATTCATTATAATATTGAACATTTAATTCTCAACAAAACAAATATTTACATTTCATCTTAAATTATTATTTTAATTAAAGATAGTATCATTTTATCATAAGATAATAATACTCATCTTTTTGATGATATATTTAAAGGTGATATAACAATTATTTGTTTAAATCTTCGAGATGGAACTATTTATACTGCAACAATACACTATCACTTAGAAAATAATGTTCAAGATAGGTAAACAGTATGGTAGATTAAAGAACAGTATAGTAGATTGATCTTCGGCTCTGTCATTAAACAAACTATTACCTCAATCCTCTACTCTTTTACCAAAACGTCCTTTAAATTAGTCTTAACCTGTTAAAACTAAATTGATCTGGAACATTTTAATACTGTCAAAACAACAACTGGAAGCATTTTATGGTATAACCATAGTGTAAGTCAACATTTCTTCCTGTGTATCTAGGAGAAATCCATCCAGTATATAACTTTGATTTATTAACTCCTGCTACTCGCAGGATCCGAACACGGGACCCCCCGGACTTGCGCGCGAACGTCCGACCTCTGAACCACTGAGTCGGCATCCGACAGTGTTTATGTCTAACTCTAATCAATCTACGGATTTTACGCGACCCCACCCATTTGTCTTCGTTGGTCTAACAATCATTGATTCTACTAATCTGTGACCAATAAGGTTCAGCCATGTCGGGTGTAGGCAATAACTACCGAAGACAAATGGGTGAGGTTGCAGAAAATCCCTAAATTGATTAGAGTTAGACATCAACATCGTTGGATGCCAGCCCAGTGGCTCAGAGGTTAGGCGTTCGTGTGCAAGATCGGTCCTGTGTTCCAGTTTGCGAGAAGCAGGAGTCGCCGATGCGCACTGCTGACTAGTCCCATACCAGTAAGAAACGACTGTCCAGTGTTTCCAGTGATAATCTAGCAATAAGTGATTCATAATTTCAGTATAAAAAAGAACAATCGCCATAACTCTGAAATGAGAACTCCTGAATCAAAACAGAACAAACGAATGAATAAGAAAATAACTTTTAGATTTATTTCAATTTATTAACATAGTATTCAAATTCATTTCATCATAGATTGTGTTTCTATTTTTTTTGTATTCGTTGAGTTCCTTTTACAATTTTAACAGGTTCAAGCACTGTACGAAATATTTCCTGATGAAGTTTTAGGCTCCGGTCAATTCGGTATTGTTTACGGAGGTAAGTTTAACATATAATTGAAATTATTGATGATATTATGACACTGATTTCTTTTTTATTTCAACTTATAACTTGATCCTATTATCAAATGTATTCAGTTTTTTCTGTTCTAACACCAATAATAAAAATAAAAGGTTTTAGGAAACTACTGATTTCCACACTTAGAGTCACAGACCGACCTTAGTTCTGCAAACGTTGTATAGCAGTAAGTGCGGGACAGATAGTTCAACCTTAAAAAATTGAACAGCTATTACATTCTAATATAGGACTCCTCAATGTTGGATATTCACGACCCAATTTCAGTGGCTTATTCCGTGATTTTGATTTGAAATGATTCGTATGCAGGTACATACGGATGACGAGTACAAAAAAGGACGAAACGCGCGCACTAGATCCGATTGTTAGTTATGCTCTATTTATTCTACATAAATCAGTAGTTTGAAGTTTAAACACTAAAAGCCCTGGACTGGGTTGTGATTCCAATGTTTTTACGTTTCAAAATGTCAAACTTTAAATTCAATATTATCCAAAGCTCCTTGATAATAAAATATTCTTATCGATTACCTAACCATTTGTGAGTTGTTTAAAGAAGTTAGACATCAAAAAACAAATGCACTTTTTGTTGTACTGGAATTTTATTGATTTATTTAAACAAATGAATCCCTTGGATTCTTTTCCACTTCTTCGAACTTAGTATTAAACTTCGGAAATTCAATGAATGCCATGAATCCATTTCTATACAGTCTAACACACACCAAATCACAAATAAATTTAGAAACCTTAAATTTATACTGTTTTGTATTTATCAATTTTATGATAATTTACTCATACAATTTATTGTTGTCAGAACACATTACTTTGATGAGTAATCTCACAACTGACGTTAATTCCATGACTTAGCTTCTTATTAGCACTTTGGAAGTCGTTCCCCATTAGTCATGTAATGACGTCATGTGAAAGTGGCTGTTAAGAATGAAACTTGACAACCTTAGGGTTGAAACAAATATCGGCATTGGTAACAATGAATAGTCGTTGTGAAAAAAAAATCGTGAATTGATCCAACTATAAACTCAATGACTTGAATATTAACAACTCGTCACGAAAACTAAAAATCCTCTTTTCTATTTGGCATGCAGATGTAATTCCACACAGCTCAGAAGTTCCATGTTAGGACGAAGCAGATACCTGCATGTTTTGAGCTGTACTGTATAATGTACAGTATAAAAAGATCCAATCTACGTTATAAGCTCCTAATCTGTTAATAATGTATAACTACTCAACAATGAATAACGAAACAGACTAAAAGTGAAAATATTCATCGTTTATTACGAATGAAAGTTTTGAATTTTGACCATGAAAAGAATTTTTGTTGCTAAACATATGATTAACCCATAGATGAGGCATAATGATAAAATGTAGTCTCGTAGTCGATTTTAGCGAAATCAGATGATCAACGTCCAGGATAACACAACGAATCAATAAAGAAGGTTAATCTCCAAAAAAAATCAAACTTTCTCATACCAGGCGATTCGTTATTTTGGGTAAAATTGAAACGTGATTCACTGCTTTCTTAATTTCTTAGATTTTAAATAACTGAGCATTTTTGTTATTGTTGTACACATTTTATTGGTCAAAGAAGTCGCTACTTCCATAAGGTTAATTTATATTGTTATCAGTAAGGGGATTAGACGTCATTAACTGACAAATCTATTCATTAGTCGCGAAAGAACCAGAACATTTAGACAGTCGAAAGACCACTTACCCTTGAATGCGATTTCAATCATCATTACATACAAACATTAATACCGTTTTGTAACACATAAAAAAGTTAATGATGTTGTTCTAAATTGCATAGTTTGTCTGTATACTGTACAACTATCATTCTAATATGAGGATCAGGTTACACGCAGCTGATGACAATGCATGAAATGGAAGAAAGTGTATAAAATTCTGTCTCACGTGTTGTTCATGCCTCAATTATATTCTGTATGACTCGATTGAGTCTCATTCCATACATATATGTATAACACTCATTTTGTGGCACAAGTTCACAATAAGTGATCATATGTGGTTGTGATTGGTTTATCAATTTTAGTAACATAAACATATTTAAATGTATATACACTGTTTTTGGAATCAATCATTTCTAAACCGAGTGGTAAACTATTACCATGACTAACGTTAACAGTGATAAAAAAATGTGTATCCTTATTAGTTGTTGGAATCATAAACAGCCAATATTTTCGGTTTTTGGGTAACTTTCAACCTATGTACATACATACTACATACACTAAACAGTACTCTCTGTTGTATAGTTTAGTTGTGAAGTATTCATTTATTTCCTGGAAAGTACCATTAAGAAATACATCGAACTATGTTAATGTTGATGAGAATTTAAACTAGAGTATGGAGCAATATCAAATTTATCCACTTACATTATTATTTCAAAAAAATTTCTACAATCATTACTAGATTGTAAAATGTAAAAATGATTTTATTCAATGAAATAATTTCAGTTTCCAGTCATAAATAAATTAAATAACTAATAAATGACAGAAGAATTTACAGGGATTTATCATAAGTAATTAAATTTGTTGAGATAACTCGATAATTACTCTCTGCCGTCATCTTGAAACCATATGACATCATAACAAAGTCAACTGAACTAGTGGACACACGCTTCTTTGAACAACAGAATTAGATCAGAACTAAGTCGTAAAATATTAACATTTCTTATTGTTTAATTAGTCGTAGAACCTAACAAAAAACGTCCAAGTGGTATTCAAATAAGTAAGCATAAAGAATAGTACTAAAAAGCGGTACCAGTATTAGCAGCAATAGAAATGATGCATCATAGGAGATGTGATTAGAGAATCATGAAAAAATTACAACACAATTGAGAATTTTCACTATTTCCTTTGAAATGGCATATTCTAATCTTGCTGTAAGTTGGTGTGCTATTCACATCGCTTAATTTTTTTTATAACAGATTTCAATAAATTACACTGAGAAAAGCATAAATGAGAATACAATGCATAATAATATATTCATCAAAATGCATAAAATCTGTTTCTTAGTCGATAGACATTTACGCACAGAAAAGTATATTTGATAATTGTTAGATACTAATTTCATATTGAGTTTATTTACGTATAACAAACAGCATGGTAATATTTTATTTAGATAACAATGTTAATTGTTTAAATTTGTCTACAATAATTAGATATCATTATTGTTGACCAATTTTAAGGTCAGAAGAACCACTATTTATCAATCATAATGACATTCAAATCACTTAATGTGTATTTTCTTATAGCGGCTACAAAACAAACCTACAATAAATTACAACAAAACAGAAGATTTTAGACAGTCGAATTCCGTAAATGATTGATTTTGTCTGTTATTACATCGATTTTTTTTCAAGTTAATAAGTTTTAAATTAGATATTAGGTAACTAAATTATCAACAATCCAAAGAAGTTGGTGGATTCTATTTTATATAATATTTTAAATCATTCACAATGTTGGGATGAGTCAATCGTTCATTGACTACTGATTATCCGATAAATATTAGCGTTCAAGTATGCATGAATATGTAATCATAGCATTGATAATTTATTCACTTCTCATAGGTATACATCGTAAAACAAAACGTGAAGTGGCCATTAAAGTTATTGACAAATTACGATTCCCTACTAAAAAAGAAGCACAATTAAAGAATGAAGTATCTATTCTACGTGTAAGTTTGTAACAGTGATTATTTCCATGATTAAATTATCTAGTACCGAATATTAAATTAGTAAATCTTTTAGAAGTAATGATGAAACAGATTCTTAATTTTGTCTATTTATGATAAGAAAGATGTCTTATGGTCAAAACAATTGTTTCCTAACCAGTAGAATATAAGTTCGACCCTGACTGCAATCATTTTAGTCTGAACAATTTGTTGAGATTAATCCGTAAAAAATGGTATATTTTAAAAATGTGTAGACAAACTTTTATTTGGGAAATGAGTCCTATTTCACATAAAATCATGTCTTAGATATGGATCTTGTAGGCCATTTACGAATTTAGACATTATGACCAGATCACTTACTGTCAGACAAATCAGATTGACAGAAGCAAACAAAAATATGGGGAACTCTGTCAACAACTCATAATTATGACAAAATATGAATACACCACATTTACTCTATATGGCCGACTGAGCATTCAATGAGCTAATGTCAGCAGACAAGACAGCGCCATTCAGTAAAATGGGGTTTTCTATGTAATGTCAGTTAGTTACAACGTGGAACTTTGTACGTACGTGTATCAATTCACGTTGCCGTACCACATGAGCCGAGGCGCCATTGTCAATTCAAATCCCATAATAGTAAAGGTAGTATGGTAATAGCAGTAATCGGAGAGATTAAGGTTCGAAGATATTATTCAAGAAGAAGTAAAAAGACAAAAATAAAGGCGATGAAAAAGTCAAAGGATTGGGATTTGATAGAAAATGAATGGATGCACCTGCGCCATTGTAAACTATTTTGAGTCGTAATTCAGGTAGTCTACACTTACCAATATGACTCAGTACAGTTGTCAGTGACTATGGATTTCGGCCATGTTTTGGTTTGGCCATCCCCAGCTTTCTTACATCTTACTCCTACACCACAAAACTTAGCTCATCGAGGCAATCGGTGGTTGGTCATTCGTAACACATGTCCCCACCACCTTAACTGATGAAGTTTCACTACTTCATCTATTGATCATTCGATAGTCCCAAGATAAACGAGCAGTGCTTCGGAGACACCTACGGTCGAAAACCAGTAACCTACGAATATCCTCAACTCTTACCGGCCATGTTTCACAGCCATGAAGTAGGACGGAGCTAATTGCTGCATAGTCAACGTCTCTTGGTTAGCAGATAGATATCTCGCCTACGCCATAAGTGATGCAAGCTGGCAAAATCCAATCGAGCCTTCTGTATCCGTGCTGAGATTTCCTCACACACCAGGCCATCAGCACTGATGAGATTCCAAAGATAAGTGAGGCGGTCAACATGGTCAACTACTTCATTCCGTATCTCTAGTTCAGATGCTGATACAAACCCATCTTGAGGTAACATTTTTCGTTTCGAGGGGGAGAATCACATCCCCAAAATGCTTGCATTGTCGCTTAGGGTGGTTAGATGACTGTACATTGTCAGCGTCTTGACCGAATAGGATTAGATTATGTCATCGGCATATTCTAAGTAAATAAGCGAGCCTCCTGGCAGGTCTGCTCCTGAGAAGTCAGACGAAGATAATGTTATATCTAGCAGCATGTCTATGACAAAATTGAACAAGAATGGGGAGAGTGGACATCTCTGACGGACACCACTTTAAGTAATGAATACCGATGATAGTTCGCCATAAGCTCTCACTCGACCGGTAGTATTCGAGTAGAGCTTGTAATCTATTTCTATAGTACACCATTTAATAACAGACACCGCCACCTCAAGGTCGAAAAGTTCTACTAGGACGTCTGAACGAGAGTCTATGTTCTAGCACCTAACAAAGCGTGAATATGTGGTCTAAGTAACCACATACTGGTCCGAATCCAGCCTGATTTTCTCGAGTCTGCCCTTCACGAGTACTAGTTAGGCATCTGAGTGTTATTGAGGTAACAATTTGGACACTAGATTAGTTAGACTGATTCTTATGTGACTGTCACGAGAGGATTTTTATCCTTTCTTAGGCATTGGGACAATCATCACACGAGACCGGATCGGTCTTTCTACGTAATGAATGCTTATTCACAAAATATTCTTACAAAACAAACATGATTAGATATAAAAACAGCCAAACAACGTCACTCTTGTGAGTCACTTACCCTCCAATGAATTAAGACCTTTTTCATTATTTCAACACTGAAGTGAATTGACTCAATATTTCATGCAGTCAAATAAAAACACATTATATCACATTTTTTAGGTAGATCAAAAAGATTTAGTCATTAATGAGCCAAAACATCTTCTGATAGACAAAATAATCTTAAGGGATATTTATCGATACAAGTATATTACCAATTGTAAATGGTATTCAATGCGTTTAATAATCTAGATTTTGGATTCTCTTTCCCAATTATGCCGATGAGACTTGTATAAACAAAAACTCTGGATTCGTACTCTTACAACTTAAATACATTACGGATGCGTACTCTGTTTAAAATTAGGATACACAATTTTTTTTTGTAAGACAACTACTATTTAAAAGGTGATAATTTTATAATCGACTACCTAATCAGTGGTTTAATACAATATATATTGTGACTTAATGAATGATAACATTGATTAGGAAATCAAGCACTTCACAGTCTACAAATCCCTTTTTCTAAGTTAAGAAATTTGAAAATTTATTCTGTACAGAATAATTACCTCAAAATCAACATTAAAAACAGTCTAACAAGGAAAGAAGTATAAATACATTATCAGATAGTGCTAACCAGTAAATAACCTTATTGTTGCAGCACTCAACTATAAAGAGTTGATCAAGCAGACATTTTATCGGTAGGTCATGTTTATATTGGTTTGAGCAACATACTTTTGTCACTAGCCATCAATGAGTGGTTGAAAGCCTGATACATGAAACTGTAAATCGCAAATAATACACAAAGATTGCCTCACCTTTCGATTAATTTGATTGTTGTCGATTACAGAAATAACACATGAATGACAATTTCCTTTCCTAATAAGTCTTAGCTATGTAAAGTTGCTATAAGCAACAAAACCAATCAAACTACGTATATGTTGACATGGAAGACGAAGCATCAGTCTAGTAGTTCCGAGTTTCTAATCAACGTGGTTTCATCTTTTTCTTACACTAAGACCAGTGAAGAACTCAATCAAAGAGCTACTGTAGGAGGGGTTAAAAATGCTAATGACGAGCAGTCACGGAAGTCAGTCATATCAAACGTGAAACACCGATTGTAATGGACTAAGGATGGGCAATATGGTAAACTTATTACTGAATACAACTAGCACGCCTATCACGATGGGTATGCCGTACCTCTGATATGGTGAATGCCAGCTGACGTCATAGTCCGATATTACGACGAGAATGAGTCCGGTACCTCCTAATTTTAAACTTAACGTATACAAGCAACTCGTACTCTCAATTTCTTGAAGTAGTTAATGACTATTTCTGATCAAACTTTCTTATTTTAATTACATCAGGAGAGTACTAAATGCCTTATTGTTGATTATTTTATAGAACCTGAATCATCCCGGAGTAGTGAATCTTGAAAGAATGTTTGAAACACCGAAGCGCGTAAGTTAGAGGGATTTTGTTACCAAGATGAAAATTTCCAACAGATAGCGAAACTGAGGTGCAACAAAACAGAAACTTTCTATTAGCCAAATGTAAAGAACTTGAGTCATGAGGAAAAAAACAAGAGAAACTAAGAGAGTGAAATAAAAAAAACAGGGGAATAATGATGAAGAATTATTATGGATGAATGACCCCATTCATCCAGCCACAATAAATTTTGACGCACAACAAGGTATCCCTTTGCACTGGTTATAAGGATTAATATCTACTCAACTGCTATACTCACAGTTTATGTTTAGCGAGTCAGCGAAAATACGGCAAACACTAGAAGTTTAGGAATCTTGTGCTGATGCAAAAGTATGTGGAATAAACCATTCGCTTAACATTGTTTATTAAGTAACTAGGACAACAAAAGGACAAACTGTCATGAGTCGTACTGACAAGGATAGCAGCCCCACTCAGACTAAATTGAATACATGCAAACTGACTTAAGACAGAAGTATCTATCGGAAACTAGAAACGGTGCTTTACTTGAGTTACACAATTCAAGAGACATATTTTGCAGGTAAACCATGAAATGGCAAGATTTCTAGTCAAATTTCATTAACTACAAGTAAAATCCCACACAGACGCTACTTCATGCGTATGCACAGCCTCCTTCATGTTGTCTTTCTCAAATCGGCTTTTTGGAGTGACGGCTTATTGGTTTGGGTGTCGGACTTTTAGTCGCTTGGTTGCATGTCTGAAACCCTTTGGTCTTCTGAAGTCTTAGCAATCAGGTAGTAATGTACCTCCTAGCTCACACTTGTAAAGCAAGCCAACAAATCCACGTGAACTCTTAAGCACTAAACTCTGACCTATCTAACTAATCACTAGCATTATTATTGACAACTTGGAGCAATTTTCAGGTTATCTTCGGAATGAAGCATTTGACAGGCGACGACTGCAAGGAATACCATAACAGTTAGTCATAACGTTATCCCTGTATTCTGTCAGGTATAACATAGGATACTATGCGAATACAGGACGTAGGGAGAATCAGCACGTTTCATACTTTACGATTTCATTATTTTCATTCACCAGTAATAAAATTACTAACGTGGACCGTATTTGAACATATTCTACTTTATAGGTATTTGTAGTGATGGAAAAGCTAGCAGGCGATATGTTGGAGATGATTCTTGGATCACCACAGGGCCGACTAACAGAACGAGTTACGAAATATTTGGCAACACAAATACTAGTTGCCCTACGTTATCTCCACTTACGAAGTATTGTGCATTGTGATCTCAAGCCAGAAAATGTCCTTCTAGCCATACCACCTAACACAGATGTGAACAATATCGGGCTACCAGAAGTTTCACAGGTAAGACCTGTTAAGAATCTAAGGCAGTGTCTGTACTGTCCGAAGAGAGCATGAAGAGCATACATCACGAGTGCGACTGGTCGGTTACATCGACCAGTCGCTCTTTTGTTAGCCAAAGCATTATGAACGTTATGACAAATTAGGTTGTCCCTATGCGGTTGCGTACGATCGAACAGAATTATTCGATGTCGCTCTCTTTGAAACAAAACCTCTGCCTCCTCTTTTTGTTTTCAGAAGGTAGCGCAACAGTTCCCACAAATCAAGCTGTGTGACTTTGGGTTTGCACGGATTATAGGCGACAAGTCATTCAGACGATCACTGGTTGGCACACCAGCCTACTTAGGTGAGTCTAAAGTAATCTTTTAAAAGCCACAAACCCACTCGTAGCTAGACACGATCGGTGAACATTAAAAATAAGACAAGATACAACCCTAGAAGTATAACACTTCTTTCCCTTTCAGCTCCAGAAGTACTGAAAAACCGTGGCTACAACCGAGGGATTGATATGTGGTCCGTTGGAGTGATACTTTACGTAAGGTAAATTGTGTCAAATACAGCTGACAAACCTGAAATGTGTAGCCTTAGTGGGACGTTTCCATTTAATGAGGAGGAAGATATAACCGAACAGATTGAAAATGCCGAATTTATGTATCCCAGTGACCCGTGGGACAACATATCTGAAGAAGGTAAAATCTGCTTTTAAAAGTGTATGTTATTATTAGCCATACACCTCATAACACATTTGCTGCAAGTGCGCCTCAGAAACAGATTCTCCGTTGAGAGAAGCCTTAACCATATTTGGATGCAGGTAAGCTCATTCAACATGTTTAGACAAAATCGGTTCAATCTGAGACAGTGAGTAGACGCTCAACCAACTCTTAATCTGAAACAAAATTATCTAATTTTTAGTACTAACTTTTGTCATTTTTACAGGACTACATATGTTGGTGTGACTTACGTCGGTTAGAAGCATCACTTTCAAATGAAAGTCGGTTCCTTACTGCAAATGCAGATGATGCGCGATGGGAACGATATCGTGAAAAATGGAACAGCGAGGCTGATACCGAACAAGGGACCCGTGCTTCTGACCAGGTATCACGTAAGCTTCCGATATGGAAAGAAATTGCTTGGAGAACAGATATTAATTTTTAGCCTATATATTTGCAGCTAAATGAACCTCTACGAAACCCATTGTAATAATAAAACATTTTAATGAATGATTTTTAACACATTTGTGCATAATAGACAGGATGGGTGAGACAAAAGGATAGCACAATGGAAATGTGGAACAAATCAGTTTAACTAGATGTAGGACGAGGAATTCAGTATTTTAGTCAATTTTAGCGATAACCGGTATAATACTGACTCATGGTTGGCGCTGGTGGAGCAGTAGCAGTTGGTAACCCGCCGGGAGGAGCCCCACCAACTGGGATGGTACCGTACCCAGATGGATAGGCAGAATACCCAGGGTAATAACCTGCATAAGGATTCGCAGTCGGTGTTTGTGGTGTTATTGTTGCAGTTGGAGCACTTGGAACGCTGCTGGATACGCTACCAGACACTGCAGAAGGTTGTTGCTGTTGTTGCTGCCAGGCATTAAACTGTTGTGCAGCAACCATTGCTGCATCGTACTTCCCAGCTCCTTGGGTACCTCCTGAAGCGGCTTGAGGAGCACCGTAATAGTATGAAGCGTAAGCTGCTGCAGCCGGTGCTGAATGGTCAGATGCGGTAGTACTGGCGGTGGAAGAAACTGCAGGTGCAGATGCTTGTTGGGTTAGTTGGGGCTTTTCAGCAACAGCTGAGGCATACAGTGACTGCTGAGTGGCACCAGTAGTGGTTGCAGATCTACTAACGGTTGCGGGCGGTTGCGTAGTTTGTGACCCGTACGCACCATATCCGTATCCATAATTGTAAGCACCATACGACTGACTAACTGGAGGGGCGTTCGTCGTATTATTATTTCCATCCTGTTTTGTGTTTTGAGTAGAATAACCATAGCCGTAACTCTGTGGCTGTTGAGCTTGCTGAAAAGAAAGTAACACGCTTTAACAATGAAGCAGAAAATAATAATCAGGGCAAGGATGAGTATTCTTCAAACGTTAGTAAGAGAATGATATTGATATTCATCACAACATAGTAAGAACGGAATACTTTTGTATCCTAAAATCAAGCTCAAAAGTCTAAGAACAAATGTGATTTACCTGGATCGACGATGCAGTTTGTTGTACTTGAGGTGTTGGTCGATTAACTGATTGCGATGGTGGATTATAAGTACTGCTTTGCACAGGAGCAGCTGAGGGGATCGGTTGAGAAGCGGGGGGTCCAACATCGAAACGACTGCGTCCACCTCGAGGACCACCAGAATTAGGCGCCTGGGTAGCAGCTTTTTGATTACCATTCGATGCAAATCCGCCTGGATAACTGGATCCCAAAGCATAGCTGTTATACGCATTCGCTTGTGAAGGAGCATTGGTTTCAGGTTTAGTATCAAAACGCGATTGTCTAGGAACTGGAGGGACATTAGTGGCAGGAGGATGATTGTCGGAGTAGCGAGCAGCACCAGATGCGTACAAGCTAGAACCATCTGTACTTGAATGTTCATTCTGTGATATCACTGTTTTATCAGGTTCGCTGGTACCATAGGTATGTGATCCTCCAAATGGAACACTGGAATTTTGTTGCATCCCAGGTCTCCCAGACCTGTCCGCCGCCATACCTCCGCTGTAAGAATCTGAACTTGGGTTCGTAAAATTACCTTGATCGCCAGTATATGAATTGGGATAATTAGATCCTGTATTAGGATTCCCAAACGAAGGATTCCCTCGACCATAGCCACCACCAGGTGCATTTGAATACCCCGCTGAACCGCCAGAGAACGGAGGGTTGCCTCTTTGATAGGTGGAATAACCACCACCAGCGGGTTTCTGTAGTGCATTTGCGTTGTAAGGACCTGCTCCACCAAAACGCCTGTTCCGATAATCATCGTTTGGTGGCCCTGAGTATTGCTCGTCGGTCGGGTTTTGGTAACCCTCTGCACCACCGTACATATACTGTTGGCTGTCGTCGGGAAATCCGCCAACCATATCACGGTCAGGCTGAGCTCCACTACGGCCAGTGATGGGTGCGTTGCGACCTAGTTGATTACGATCAACGCCCCTATCAGTATTAGCTGTACGTCCTTGGGCGACTGCTCCACGCCCCATTGACGTTCCACCACGACCAGGAGCTCCGCGAGACCCCTGCATTTGCATACCTCGACCGCTGCTTCCGTACCCTCCTCGAAAACCTCCGCTCATTGGGCCACCTGAAACAAATGCAAAGAGTCATAAGTAAGGATCAAGACGATGGAAATATGTTGGAGCATAATCAAAGGGATAACGTACTTTCATATGGCGGCTGAGAAAGTGAGGCTTCACTCATATCATAAGCGTTGCCAATCGGTTCTGCATCACCGGTACTACCATCAAAGTGACCATACATTGGATCATTCGGCCCACCATAACCCAGGTTTCCTCGATCCATTGAACCACGATAGGCCCCACGTCCAACACGTGAGTCAAAATTAGGTCCTGAGAAACCGCCTCTAGCGGGACCGCTCCTCATCATACCACCGCGAGAACTGTCGAAACCTCCAAACCCACCCGGGCCGGACATTCCACTTGGAAACGGCCCGCGATTCGGGGCCCCAAAACGACCGCTAGGAGGACCACCACCGTACCTGCCACCAGGCTGACGGCCAAACGAATCCCGATCACTGTCTGCAAAAAGGAAGATAAAAATTACATTAGAGTATTATGTTGATCGAATAAGTACTGGACCTTAAACTATCATTAATGGTTGTCGCTTACTTCTATCGAAACGATCTCCCTCACGACTCCGATCACGTGAAGCATTGTAGCCACCTCTGAAAGATAAAGAAGGATCGTTGAGAAGCACGGAACGACCAGATCACACTGCATTTACTTTAAAAACACCAATGCTTACCTGTAGTCGCGACGACCACGATCATCGTTCCGACGATTTGGGGAGCTTCGGAAGTCATCACGTCGTCCACGTGGCATATCCCGACCACGATCCCGACTATCCCTTCCGCGAAAACGAGAATTACGAGAGTCATCCCGGTCACGATTTCCACCATCCCAGCGCTGGCGTTTTTCTGGTGGTTGTCTGTTTGCTTGTCCCTCTTGATTGTATTGCGCAACCAGTACTTTAGCATCATCTAGACCAAGTTCAGTGAAGATAACCTCATCAAAAACGCTAGAGGAATCTTCGGATACAGGTCTAGGAATTCCGAAATTAGCTGAAAAGGAAAGGTTAACCGAATTGATCTAACAGCAATTTCAAACCGTTTACGCGGGAAAACTAAAATCACACATAAATTTAAGTAATTAAAAATAACCGTATATTTTGTTTAGGTACATTCCAAGAAAGGGTCGCTCCAACTGACTCAAGTATTTAGTTGCTAGGTAAACTATAATCTACATAGAGTACATTATATGTAACCATTTTTACTTTTCTAGGTAGTGTATTATGAACAATTGACGAAAAGTTCAACACAGTATGTACGGATCAGTAAAACCGTTTTGTATAGCAACTGTGTCGCATTGGGATGAGTATTTTATTTCGAGAATCAAGAGATTTCTGAACAAAGTTTATACTGTTGTTTGCTGAAGAGATAAAAATTCTGCCTATTCTGCTGATGCTTGCTTGAATCGGGTTTTAAGTCATATTTTGCTGCCATTTTATGTTAGTAAAACGACCAAAATATCGAGTACATGGTAGGTTAAGCTGTGATCAGTTTTGATAAGTCAGCAACAACATGAAGAACCGATGTAAATATACCACATTTATGAGCACTATAAAATAAGTGAGAAACTTGAGCAACCCATAATTACTCGTACTGTCTAGAGAAAGCAGTAAATAAACAATTTTGATTTGGCTTGCCATCCCGAGTGAACACCACTTTGTATTATCTGAAAACGCAAGGTAAAATGATTGGCATTCATAAAAACTGCTATCTCAGAGCGAGTGGCTACAGGTTACACAAAAAAATAACTAGTTGGGATTTATCTTGAAACTATCATGCATTACGGATTACATTTACTTAAACAGCTGCGTTTCCAAGATATCAACTTAGAAGATCGTATGCTTAGCTAATAAAAGAACCAGATATTCTTTTTGGATACGACACGTATGAGTGTAGAGCTACAGAACGGTTTTTGCTTCAACACCAAATGAATGCAAACAAATTAGTAAGCACTTAAGTATTCATCAAAATAGTACAATAGGATTTACCGATTAGTAGACTCAAGCATAAAACAGAACGCAGATGCATTAAAAGTAAATCCAAGGAAAACTTGCAGGACTTTATACCACCATTTCCAACAAAGAAAACTACCTTTCATCTCGAGAACTGCAGTTTCAGGCACTTCTTTGCCCTCCTCTTTTTCCCGTTGGGCAATTCGCCGCCTGAATTCTTCGTCAGTAGGAATGATAACAATGGCCTTTCGCTTGAAACCTTCAAATGGACGCATTTTACGGCGCTGTGCTGACGGGTACACATTTGTCTGTGATTAGGTTCAGGAGATGGAACCGAGCGAATGAGAGAAAAAACGAAGTTATATCAGTGCCACCACCAGGAATAGATAATTGTGCGCATTTGTACGATGGACCAAATCCAGTTGCAAGGTACATACCAAAAATGCAAAGCAAGTAAGGTACCTTGCATGTAAATTCGGACAAAATTATACATGGCATTAACATGTACTTCGCCAAATCAGTCTACTGTAGTAGAACCGATTCAAGAAATGCATCATTAGAGCAAACTGGTCAAGAACATCGGTACGTTTGGTGCGAACAACTGTTCGACCAGTGCTCAAATGTGGTGTCTTGAAACGGGGACCACTGAATACAGTTCAACAAATAAAACATTTTCGTTAATATGAACGAATAAGTGATTAACAACAAGCAAAAACTGGTAACAGATATCGGTAGAAAATTAAATATTTAAATACACATTACAAAAGTCTGAAAAAACGTTTATAAGTAACCTCTACGACTCGTTCTCTTAGTGAGATATTTTGGAAAGACTATCATAACGTTTCATAACACCTACTGGTACTAGTAGAAAATTAACGTCTATGCGAAATAACTGACCTGATCCAAAATGTAATTACGACGGCGCATACACGCCATACTGATGAGCGTATTTAAACACTTGGTTGATTTGTCAATTAAAACGTCCCATCTGCCATGATAATTACGCTGCCGTGCAACGCCCATCACCTAAAATAACAAATGGTATGATTATCTTTTTTACAAGTGTGCACAATCCATATATATTTATCTGGTCTAAACTTACTTTCATTTTATCGAGAATAAGGTTGGTTCCTAATATATTATACTGCTTTTCACGATGCTCTGTTCTGTGACGTTCAGCAAAATATGTTTTCCCTGCTCCCGGAAGTCCAATCATCATGATCACTTCACACTCAGACTTTGATTGCGGTGGACAGCGGCCACGTACGCGACAAGAAAGGGGTAAACTGTTTATTTGTTGCCAGGATAAAGGATCATCTGGAAAATTAGCAAATCCACAAAAAACCCCAAATATAGACGAGTATAAAATAAACATTTAACAGGGAACATGATTTTATGGCTTAATGGACGAGTTTTTGGTCAGTGAAATGAGACAAGATTGTTCACAGTTGTGAAATTATACAATGTGGCTGCTTAAGAAACAGAATCATCGACGTATTTCGCCCGAATGAATTAAGATCGAAGACAAGACTACCATCTCGAAGAAAACATGCTTGGGATATTATTAACAACATAAAAATCACAGTAAATATCATGAGTGACTAGCTGTTTAAAATTTTGTGTATAGCTTACTTTTCAACAAATTCTAACTACTAGGACTAATTGTAACTCACTATAGCAGTAAATGCGTTGAAGGATGGACGATAGCTTATTACTACAGATAGGTTGACGGAGGGCTTACTGAATCAAAAATAATCCATTTGATTAGGATAGATCGCGCGGAAGGAGGCACTTATTGGATGAACTAATTTTTTTAGACAGAGAGACGCTGAAAAGAGTAATAAACTAACAGATATTTTGTGGTAAACATCATCCTACACCGAGGAGAATCGGTCAACTGACTCTTGAATAAAAAAGTGTCTTTAAGCCCACAAAGTCACTAACAACGGGATTGAGACATGTTGGTAGATGTGGACCACTTGGTTAAGGTCCGCGAGATGATAGTAATCGATGGTTAAAGATTTTGAACATGGCTCAAAACCGTTTTCAATGGCTCAGGTACGTTCATTCTGTTTTCCCAAATCCTAATACTCTGGATTCCTCAGCACCTTTATTTTCCTCTTCAAGTTCATTTCACTAGAACATACTTCTTAAATAATTTCGTTGAAGCCCAATCTTCACCATTGCAGATAATACTTCTACTACCTCTAGTACTAATTGACAATTGTGTCTGCGTTAACGTGGTATGGCAATTTGGACTGACTTACATACTTACGAAGTTCTACATTGCAGCTGACTGACTGACTAGTTTGATGTATTTACATAATAAGAGTACAGTACTTCATTGCAGTTTGGACGCTTGAAGTTCAAAACATAGCATAATAACTTGCTGGTAGACCATACCACGAATCCGTTTATCTTAAGAACAATGCTCTAAAGTGAGGAGTACCTATTTTGAACATACTTCAGAAATCGATACCGGTGAACGATGGTCGGTGTAGGTAATTCGAATCACTTTCGGAAAGCTCAAAAATTGCAACACGCCGTATCTATTGTACTTTTAATTATCCTGTATTCTGAAGTCGGTGAGAATGTTTAGGAATATTTTTGATTTTCAAAATAAAACGTGTATTCCAGCGTAACCGCAAGATCGCAAACTGAATCAGGTAGTGTATACTGTTATGCACAAGACATGAAGCCAAGACAACTGCACATCGAGATCTGATGGAAGGCTAATTAGGGTACGTTTGTACATAGAATTAGTGACACATGAGTCACATACCTACACGACGCGGCATAATCCCAGTTGACAAGGTGATATAATCATCTTAAAGCTTACTAAAACCGGACATCAGTCTAAAATATGTTCGAAAACTTGAGATAAGCGACTTAATAGACAGAACCAGCGGGGTAAAACTTACTACCTAATTATGACTGGTCGGAAAATGAATAGCAAAAGATTAGGAACAATCAAAATAAGGTATGCGATAACCACTCCCAAGCCAGTGAAACTGGAAGGAAAGATGTAAGACAATCTGAAGGAAAGGATGATGGCTACGAAACGCGCAGTGGAGATCACTTCACGGCAACAGGTACAACGACAATAAAACAGACCGCATCAGTTGCAACGTAAAACTTCGTACGTAAGTACACAAGTTCAGGTTGCCATTTCGCATTAGCACAGAGACGCAACTGTCAGTTCAAATCCCAAAGTGGTAGAGATGGCAGAAAAATTAGCGATAATGGAGAAGATTAGAGTTCGGAGATATTCAAGAAGCGTAATTCAGTGATATAAGAGAAAGATAGAGGTGATGATTTCAGAAGATTAGAATTTGAGAGAACCTAATAAACTCATCATGCATAAAATAAATAATTCACACTTAAAACCGTAACCGATCTGAGATTTTGGTAGTTTATCACTATAATTTCGTTTTGAAAAATTTTAAGGCTGCGACATGTTACCACAAAGTGTTGTACAGACCACATCTTTACACTACGACAGGTCCTGGAACACAGACACAAATTTAGACGTCCGACAATAGTTGTTTTCCTGGACCTAAAGGCGGCATTTGACTGTGTGGATCGTGAGGTTCTGTGGCAGCGTCTGTCATTGAAAGGTGTACCAAAGAAGTACATTAACCTTATACAAGCTCTCTACTCGAACACCACTGGTCGAGTGAGAGCTTATGGCGAACTGTCATCTGAATTCTCTACATCGTGGTGTGCGTCAGGGCTGTTCACTCTCTCTATTCTTGTTTAACTTTGTCGTGGACATCCTCTTAGTGTTAACATTAAGCCCGTCAGATTTTTCAGGGGTTGACTTTCTACCGGGAAAATCGCTTACTGACTTAGAATATGCCAATGACATTGTTCTATTCGGTGAAGACGCTGGCAAAATGCAGTCTTCTGACTACCACAAGCAACAATGCGAGCATGTTCGGGATGCGGTTTCCCCCCTCAAAATGCAAAATGTTGCTTCAAAATTGGGTTGCATCGGCACCTGAACTAGTGATAGGGAGTGAAGTAGTCGACCGTCTTGATCACTTCACTTATCTGGGGAGTCTCATCAGTGCTGATAGCCTGGTGACTGACGAAATCTCAGCGCAGATACAAAAAGCTCGATTTGCTTTTGCCAACCTGCGTCACTTATGGCGTAGGCCAGATATCCGTTTGCTGACTAAAGGACGAGTGTACTGCGCAGTAGTTCGCTCCGTTCTATATGGATGCGAAACATGGCTGTTAAGAGTAGATGTTCGTAGGTTACTAGTATTCGATCATAGGTGTCTTCGAAGCATTGCTCGTATATCGTGGGACAACCGAGTAAGCAATGCTGTTGTTAGGAAACGGGTACTAGTTAACGATGGCAGATCAATAGATGAAGTAGTGAAACCATCAATTGAGGTGGTCGGGACATGTATTACGAATGCCTAGCCACCGACTGCCTCGACGAGCTGTTTTGTGGTGTAGGAATAGGTTGGAAGAAAGCTAGGGGTGGCCAAACTAAAACATGGCACAAATCCATGAAGTCACTGACAAGTCGACTGAGTCATGTTGGTAGATGTAGACTACCTGGTTGGGGTCAGTGAGACGAAAGTCACCGATGGTTAGGGACCTTGAACGACATGACGTAGGGATATCTATTATTTGTGTTCTCTCAAATCCTAACCTTTTGAATTCCTCACTATAATATCTTCGACCTCTAATATCCATTACAGCAAATTCTTTTACTACTGCAACCACTATGGGATTTGAACTGACATTTGCGTCCGGTATGGCAACCTGAACTGATGTACGTACGTACGAATTTCTATGTTGTAAGTGACTAGCTGAATAGATAGCATACTATTTAGTCATTTTAACTTAAATAGTCAGTGTATACACTGACTGAGAGTTGAATGCACATAAAATTATAGAGAATTCGACAACAGACTAAGCACTACAAGCTTCTTTATTTCAGAGGATACCAACACAACAGGGATACTAAGCACCTACATAACAAAGTAGTCAGCGTACCCAATTGCTTTATTTTCCATTATTATTTCAGAATCGCGTGCAGACCAGTCCAGGAGAAAATAGGCATTAAGTAGGAAATAAAAACCTCAAACACATTTTTATTACTGCACACAACGAGCTGGACAAGGCTGCATTAACACCTTCGAACAGAAATGCTACTTGCGCATTTCACGTTATCAAGTGGACTCAGTGCTGGATTAACCTCTGAAGTTAGTGAACGGATGTTGTTACTGAGGCATCTATGACAAACCATGGAAAGGGGAGTGACGAGCACAAGACATTCCACAGAACAGCAAGCTACAGTACATTATCCAAGAATAAAAAACGGTTTTGGTGGTTATTGCGAACATTGGTCCCTGAACCGTAGTGGTGAGAGGACATTAAATTCACTAAATATCAGGTTCAGGCTTTGCATTAGGTCAAGCTTGGATGACTGACCGGCATCTTGAAACCGCTTGAAGTCAAGAATACAATGTTATGACGCCACCCAGGTACATAAGTCGCCATAACGCAGTACTTAGTACGAACGTACATCAGCTCAAGTTGCCATATCACATTAGCACAGGTTAAATTGTTAATTAAAATTCCAACAGCAGTAGTTGGCCGTAATGGAGATCGGGGTTCAAAATTTTTCAAGAGGTATAATCCAGTGAAACGAATTTACAATAAGAAAAGGAAAATTGCTGAACTCATGGAAGACAAAGAACAGATGTATTTGCGCCATTGCAAACGATTTTGAGCCATGTCATTCAAAGTATCTAGTATATCCGTCACTATTGTCTCGCAGATCCTAAACAGTTAGTCTACATCTACTAACATGACACAGTCTAGTTGTCAATGACTTCATAGATCTGCCACATGTTCTGGTTTGGGCTCCTCTAGCTATCTTCAGGACTTCTCGAACGTCACAAAACATCGCTCGTCAAAGCAGTCAGGGGTTGAGCATTCGTAATGTAACGAAGTATCAGCTGTATTACGTGACATTTTAAAATTGTCTGTAGGACTTTTCTCTGTTTAAACCTTTACTATCTACCACAAAAGATTCCTAAGACAACTAACTATTCGGTTGTTTTAGTTAAAAACGGGATGATTGACACTTACCGGATGGGATACTGGGGCTAAACCAAGGAGATTGATCTTCTTGTCCGAAGTTGCAGATGAATTCCACGTTTTTCACATACACATGCGGGAACAAAGCATAACGCTCTCCCAACTGCGACCTTAGAACACGAAAGCATTCTCCCTGATCCACTCCGTTAACACTAAACCTAAGAAGAGCTTCGGTATTTGTCCACTCCTGAAGCATGAAGTAAATACATCAAACTTACAATGAAAGCACCAATAACATCACCTTCCCCGAATGTGCAACCGTAGTCAGTAAACTTGTTGTTCGTAGACTTTTTTCCTGTACCCCCATAGCCAAAAGACTGAGGTTCCTCACCGAGAGTAAAATCGGTGTCTTCAGTAGACCAACCCACTCGCAGCACGTGAGTTGCACCACCCACCAAACTGTCATAGTTCTCCACCGGGAGATTCTTCACTATTCGTACTTCAAAAAATGACTACGAAATATGAGTATTATACGCACTTACCTTCTCAGATATTGAGCCGTAGTTTGCCCTTACACCAGCCCACATCAGTGAGAAACCTCCCTCTGTTAAAGGTTTTGCTTGGAAGCCAGTAGCATCAATCATGAGGTTTAGATCGCAATTGTAAGTGTCAAGAAATACTGACACACTTTCTTCCCAGTTATCTGGTTCCGGAACCATTTTCGATTTGACCTGTGGGGACCTGGAACGCCTACGAGGTGATCTGCGAGAGTCTCTATCTCGAGACCTAGATCTACGGCGAGGGGAGTGTGACGGTGAGCGTCTTCGCTTGAGACTCTCTTGATCTGATTTTTGGTTCTGGTCTCCTGGACTACCACCATCTTTTTCATTCACTAACTAATAACCGCTTATAAAGAGGACATGATTGACTTACCCCATTCTCACATCCATGCTGCGGCGAAACGTTAGGACTTGAATCCAACACATCATGTCCTGAGTTCTGACTTGGTTGCCTGGACAGATTGGGAGATGCTGAGTGGGGCTGTTCCTCAGGGTCTAATGGCTAGGACACATGAGTCGACGAACCTACCGGCTGGTTGTTTCTTGTCAAGATTTGGCGATGCCGATTTCAGTGCATCATTTAGGCGATCCATTAAAATTTGCTTTGTCCCAAAAGTATTGAGACCACGCCTACCTAACTCAGCTCTCAATTCTGGCACTTTAAGCTTAGACACATCGATGTCCTCACTCATCCTTCAATGGCGAAACTATGGTGAGCGCGAACAAACAAGTTGGTAGCGCAGAGCCAATGTTCCAATGCCTTTAAGCTTGTGACGTTCAAAAAGAAACCTGAAAAGGAATATCTCTTAGTCTTACATGGCATGTTCAGTTAAGTCAAACTTTCGGTGCTACTTTTGGATGAATGAGTGCGCTTTTCACCCTTATTATTACATAGCCATTCTCAAAATTCAGGAATAATGATCCGTCTTGTGTGTGTAACGGAGACTTATATGTTGGCTCCTGCCTAAAATCTGCCGTTTATTGCACTTTTTTGTTTTTATCCTCTGGTTAAGTCACGACGTCGATGTCCCTTCTGACAACCAGAGCACATGGAATGTCCGCTCAAGGTGGGAAACCGCGAGAACCACTCGAGTTACGGAGAAAATGAAAAGATACAGCCTGGATGTATCTGAAGTAAGTGAAACTCACTGTATGCAAGATGTACGGGAAGGGTAAACCCCTGGAGAAATAATGCTGTACCCTGGCCATGGAGAAGAAAAAACCTCACACAAAGAGTCACACTGATGCTGTAAAAAAGCACAGAAAGCGCCTATAGGATGGCAGTCTCATAAATCCGAAATCATCAGAACATCCTCAATGACAAAAACGGAGGGGATTACAATGAATGGCACTCACTGCTGTACACCGACCAGAGAAAACAATGAAAACGATAAAAATCAATTCTATGAGTGGCTGTGGTCGGTCGTAGTGAAATACCCGTCAAAGGGTTTGATTATTCTAATCGGAGACCTAAACGTCAAGGTTGGGATGGATGAAACCGGATACGAAGACATCATGGTCTTCCATGGACTAAGAGAAAGAAACTAAATTAGTGAAAGATTCGCAGATCTACGTGCCTTCAACAAAATTACTCCATGTGGCACCATATTCTCACACAAAATCACATAGGTTTCAACGGATCACACTACACAGGACCAAATCGATCATATCTGCACCAAAGAAAGTTCAGAATGACAATGAAGGACATAAGAGCAAAGAGAGGAGCTGACATTGCTTTAGATCATTTGGTGGCGGCCTAGATGAAACTTTAAACGAAGAGGCACTGGAAAACTGGATAAACAGCATCATCAATGTTTATTACAGCCTTGATTTCAGATAATGTCAAAATCAACGAATTCCAGATAGCTCTCAACAAGCCTCTCGCAGTTCACTCAAAAAAGAGTAAATACCGTGGAGAATAACCGGAAGCGAACCAAATCGCGACAATATTGAACATCGTCAATCAATCAACTGAATTGAACTCATCACTATAGATCAGCTTCCTTGATTACTGGGAGGCATGTTACATTGTGAATAGGAGGTCACTTGAAACAACGAATAGTCTTGAGAACGTAACAGCCTAGGTTAGATAGTTGCGAGCTAGCCGAATAGAGATCAAATCATTATATCCAAAGTGGGTATTAACTTCCTTACTTTATACTGGAGTTATATTTTGCGTTATAGTGATTGTTTATTTGAATTATAACCACCCCACTCCACCATGCTGCTGAGCAAAATCTGAATAAAAACCTACTACAACCACATTACTGGCTTTTGATGCGCATACAATGTGGTACAATATATGACACAACATTGATGAGCTCTCTTTGCATATGTTGACATTTATTTTTGCTATGAAACAAATTTTTATGAAAGATCAATACATACGTTTAGTAATATTCTTAATTGTTAATTTTTTCGTGTTAGAAATGTTGCACATGCACATCTGTATTTCTACAATTTTTGTTACACACCACAGAATGTCAGACTCAATACCGAATGAAATTATTTGTCAACTATACGAATAGATACTGTTATGACTACAATATTCCGACCCCCAGAATTCAACTGTGGGGATCAGGAGTTGCGGTTTGTTCAACTAAAGCTTTATTTCACGAGATGAGGGTGAAAAAATCGTTGCTTATATTATGTTAAAGACAGAAATTCCAGCTTAAACGTCTTGGTGGATACAGGTGTCTTACTGAGTATCGTCCCTCAGCGCAAAACTGAGCTAGGTCAAAAAATGACCCCACTCATACTTCAAACTGCCGACAAGACAAAAATGACAACGTTTGGACAGAAAATGTTTACGCTAGTCATCGGATTTTAGAGGCGACTCCTCTGGGTACTCACTGTGGCGGATTTAGTTCCCACAATACTAGCTGTTAGGGATTTTTAATGGTTTCTGAATTCGGAAGAACGATCGAAGAAGTTAAGATAGGCGCCTTTCCCAGTTATCTCAACAACAAAGCAATTTATCGGGGTAAGAAGCGGTTCTGTTGTTAATTAAAATTCACAGATCATTACTTAAAACAATATATCACTGTTCTTTAACACAATGTGTTTCCACTTCTGAAGGAATGCTTCCGCATAAGTCCAAAATTGCACCCTTCCAGTCCAGATTCAAGGATCAGCGCTCAGGGTATAAAATCAGATATCGCTGACGCCATAATAAAGTACCAATTTAAACAACATAATACAGCTCCATAGAAAATATAGAAGCTCAAATAAAGGTACAAAAGTAGAAACTATAACAAAACACAATGATAAAATCTCAAAATGGATTCAAATAGAGTACCAAAATGTCGACAGAAAGAGTCAGTAAGATCAGGACACAAATATAAAAATGGAGGGATTTTCCCAAAACAAAGCCTTTGTAGAAGCTTTTTTGAATGTTTCGTTTTTTGGAAAATCCCTCCATGTATATATATTTGTGTTATGATATGACTGACTCTTTCTGTCGACATTTTGGTACTCTATTTGATTCCATTTTGAGATTTTACCATTGTATATTGTTATTATTTCTATATCTTGTACTTGTATTGAAGTTTTTATGTTTCCTTCTGAACTGTACATATGTTGATATTTAATATGGCTACAGCCATATTTGGATTTGATACCTTGGCAGTTAGTACTAGTATCACTTATTCTTTTGGATTCGGATACCCATCAGGGTAATTTGGACTTGGAAGGTGTATTAATAATCAGGTAAATGTTTGTATTTCCATTTTATTATAAAAATAGACCGCTTTCTTCTAGAATTATTGTGTTTTGATATTGGACTGGGGGATAGCGCGTTCGACCTACACCTGCTGGAAACAAAATGAACTGCTAGGGTAGAAAATTCATCTACAGCCTTCAAAATGGATTCTACACCGGCATGCAAAACCCCTCTATACAAAGCAAATCCCTTTACATGCCTCAGCTTATGGTTAACTCTCATAACCTGATCCACACCAGAAGAATGAGTAGGACATACAGCGGTACGCCTACTCGCTCTCTAACATGGATATGACCTATCAAGCTAACTATGCATCTGTACCTTCTCATCAGGTCCTTCATTCCTTTATCTATCGTATCATGACCTAAAGGTCGTACAAACTTCATCCAGTTAAACCACATGAACATGTATAGCACGTTGTAGGGCTGGTCACATCCCATTCGGAATTTACTCTCCATATTATAAGGAGGATGAATCGTCAATCCACCACCACTCGCTCGAAACGGCAGACACGATGAAATCAGCGATGCCAACTCATGAACAGCAGTTCTTGACCCGTAAATAATATGCAAGTGTGGAATCTTCAATTTTGATATTTCATCGTCTCCTGAAGACTCTGGATGGCATAATGTAGGAACAAGATTCAATTCTCCATCTCCTAGTACAGAGGAGGTTTGGTCAGCTTTCATCATCGTCGACAACTCTTTTGTCTTATTAGTGACATCAAGATTATTATCATCGCCGTCATGATTCCGTTGTCAGACAAGTCACGTTGTTTCTGCTATCACTAGCAACAGCAGAGTGGAACTCTTCCATTGTTGTGTAACTCATCTCGCTACATGAAAGAACAGCATTAGTATCAACATTCGAAACCGATAAACTCACTTTTTGTTCTTCATGTTCCGTTTCAGAAACACAAGCCATGTGCACATCGGTAGCATCGTTATCATACAACACTAGAGACTGGCTGTTATCATTTGACACTTTCTTCTGATCATCACCAAACTGACTGTCAATCTCAGAAGAAACATTTACAATTGCACAATCATGGGCATCTTCCACCACCTCTATCCTTGCGGCAAGGCTCGAAGACACAACCTTAGATGATCCATTTGACGAACTAGTTTGTCTAGTGACTATGGGTGGATTGCACGTACTCGGTATCATACTACCATTGCTGGCACCACTACGATTCTGATGAGTACTATATTATGGATTTTCTGCTCTTGCAGTTCACTCCGGTTCGAACAGTGTAGGTTCATACGCGTTCACCCAGTCAGGGACCGAAAACACGATAATTCTGGGAGAAAACGGTTCCATTTTAATGAATAAGGGAAATACAGACAATTACCAAAACGATTTTACACCTTCGAGCTTTCAATTACCGCAATGGGTTCCGTTTCTGGAAGAATAAATGCTTCCAGTCAGTTACTACCAAAGTATCAAATCCAAATATGGCTGTAGCCATATTAAATATCAAATTTAAACAACATATGTACAGTTCAGAAGGAAACATAAAATCTTCAATACAAGTACAAGATATAGAAATAATAACAATATACAATGATAAAATCTCAAAATGGAATCAAATAGAGTACCAAAATGTCGACAGAAAGAGTCAGTCATATCATAACACAAATATAAAATTGGAGGGATTTTCCAAAAAAGAAAACCTTCAAAATTGATTCTACGCCGGCGCGCAAAATATCTCCATGCAAAACAAGCTCTTACTGACGCTTCAATTTAGGTTTCACTCGCATGTCCTAATCCACACCGGAAATTGAGATGCTCTAGACGTTGTACCGAGACTGTAT